ATTAATCAGCATACGAGGAACCACAAAAAACCTCAACTTCCTTGGGAATATACAATAAACATAATTAGATGACATAGATGGCAAAATTTTCTAAAAGAAACTATTATAAAAGTGCTTGAATAGCAATAAGCAGTGGTTAAAATACAAGGTATTAGAAAACAAAGAGAAGACAGTAAAAGAAAACAGATAGAAACACAAAATAAAAATACAATTACCAAAATAAAACACTCACTAAATAGATTAAATAAACTAAAATGAATATAAAAAGGGAAAAAGTAATGAACCAGAAAAGAGAACAGAAATTATCTAAACTGGATAACAGAGAGAAAAGAATTGAGCAGAGTTTCACAAACTTGTAGAACAAGTTCATGTCATCAGAGAACCAGAGAAGAGAATGAGTACAGTGTGGAAAAATAGCTGAAGATTTTAAATAATGGTTCAAAAATGGTATAAGGCAAAGACCTACAAGTTCAAGAACCTTAACAAACCACCAACAGAATAAACCTAAAGAAATCCAAGCCCAGAGACAACTTAATCACACTGCTGAAAACTAAAGACAAAGAAAAAAAATCTTGGAGCATCTAGAGACAAATAAGACATTACCTGTAAGAGAAAAATAATTTGAATAGTAGTCTCATCAAAAACTATCAAGTAACATTTTAAAAGAGAAGAATGAAAGAAACTGTTAACCCAAAATGCTACATCCAGTAAAAATATTGTTTAGAAATAAAAATGTTTAAACTTTTTGTTTTAAAATAAAACTAAAGGATTTATAGCCAGTACACCTGTTCTAAAATAATAAAATTTCTTCAGATGGAGGAAAATGATATAAAAAGGAAACTTGGAAAATTAGGAATGAAGGAATACCAAGAGAAATAGTAAGTATTTGGCACATACTACAAAGTATTCCTGTTCTCTTGAGTTCCTTATATGTTTGAAGTTATAAGCAAAAATTATAACATGGTGTGATGGAGATTTAAGTTGTATGTAAATGTATATGTAATATACAAAACAACTATGGCAAAAAAAAGTTTAAAGGGAAGAGAGTAAAGGGACCTATAGGATAGAAAGATTTCTACATTCTAATTGAAGTAGTAAATTGTTTATTGTTAAAAGTGAAGCCTATTTTTTAATCCTGTTATCAACCACTAAAAGATATATAAAAGAAAGTTATAGCCAAAATCGCAGATTAAATGAAATTAAATAACAAGAAGTATTCAAAATGTCTAGTCAGAAAGATTTTAGAAAGAGAAACAAAAACAGAGGGAACAGAAAACAAACAATAAAATGTTATACCTAAATCTAAATAAATCAATAATTACATTTAATGTCATTAAATATGATATGATTAAACACCAATATAATTACATGATATAATTACATTCCCACCAATTAAAAGGCAGGAATTGCCCTGGCCTGTGTGGCTCAGTCGGTTGAGCACTGTCCCATGCATCAAAAGGTTGCAGGTTCGATTCTAGGTAGGGGCAATTTCCCAGGTTGTGGGTTTAGTCCCCAGTTGAGAGCATGCATGAGGCAGCCAATCTCACACGATGTTTCTTTCTCTCTTTCTCCCTTCCTCTCAAAAATCAATAAACACATAAACATTTTTTTAAGGCAGGAATTATTAGAAAGAATTAAAAAATCCACACAAACATAGATTAACTACATAAAAACTCACCTCAACCAGTCATTATAGATTAAAAGTAAAGAACATAGAACTATGCCTGTCACATAGTAAGTACCCAATATATGATAAATGTTAACAATATCATCAAATTGTAGTGGGAAAGATTACTTTTGAATAGAGGAAGTTATAGTTTTCTCTGAGACTAGAGAAAACAAAGAAAGATTGAGTACCATGATGGATAAGTTATAAGTACGGAGGAAGAATATCCGAGGAAATGTTAGCTTAAGCTTAATTTTCTCTGTAAAGTAAAATAATTATTTTCATAGAAAGGATGAAGGACAAAATCATTGAGGAAAATTCCCACTGTGGGCAATAGGAGAGACTGTTGACCATGAAGCTATAAAATGATTGTTGAGTAGGACTCACAGCGTAGCAGAAATCAGAAATCATAAACTGATCTGACAATAATCATCAGAGCTTTCATTTTGTCCAGTGCTGCTCAGAGCTCGAGTGTAGAAATAGTCCAACTCACGAGCTAAATTAGGCATAATAAAAAGAGATACACCAGCTCAGTGGAAAGGGCTCCAGGGAGGACAGGCTGGTCAATGTAACTTTCATGTTACTCCAATGAGTTTAAAGGCATTTCTTTTGGAAAGCACATAAATGCCCACCAACTTAAGTATAAGTAAAAAGCTGCGGTACAAGCATACAATAAAATATGACTCAAGAATTTAAAAAGAACAGACTACTGACAAACATCATCCTAAAAAATTATAGCCCATATGACCGATAATTTTATATAAAATTCCAAAAAAGACAAAATTATAGTACAGGAAACAGATCAGTGTTTGCCTGGCAGTAGACTGACTGTAAAGGGACACAAGGAAAACCTTCCCCCTACTTTTATTTAAGATATAATAGACATATAACATTGCATCAGTTTAAGGTGTACAACATCATGATTTTGGATATATGTATAGTCTGAGAACTGAGTATCAAATAAATTTAGTTAATATCCATCATTTCATATAGTAACAATTTCCCCCCCTGTAATTAGATGAAGAAACTTTTAAGAACTGATGGAATAGTGCTATAGCATGCCTATGGCAGTGGTTAAACGACTCTATATCTTCTGGACTGCAGCACACATCCCTAGACAGACCTTAGCAGTTCCCCTGAGTTAAGGAAACAGCAGTCATAACTTGAGAAGTTGAAGATCACTAAAATTTCCAGGATGGAGACCAAAGAACAGTTGCACAGAGAGGAGTACTGGAGATTTGTCGGGGGTTTTCTCTGAGTTTCTCACTGAGTGACAACAGCTAATGTCAACAATATCTCAGGTTTACTTAGGACTGGGAATGTTTAATTCTTCCAAGAGCCAGAGTGGAAAGACCTCCAATTACAGGGCATTAAGTACTCAAGAATAATGTCTCAGCAGGGGGCCAAATTAGTTTTATACTGAAGGCTGTTCAGGACCTGCCTAGCAAAGCTAGAAGAAAGCCTTGCAAGACTCAAACTATTCCATGTAACTTAACTGCATATCAGGATAAAACCCCAATATATTAAAAAAGGAAGATAAAACACACAATGCCTGGTATCCAATCACCAATTATCAGGTATAGACTCAGGAATGATAAACAAAACAGAATTAGTATAAAAGGTCATTAAAACAGCTATCACAATTATATTTCACGTGTTCAAGAAGGTAGAGAAAAGAATAAGTATTATAAAGATAGACATAAAAAGTATTAAAATAACTAAATACACTTTAGGAGATAAAACATTTAATATCTGAGGTAAAAAATATATAATATTTGGATGGGATACACAGCAGATTACACAAAGTGGAAGAAAATTAATGCACTATAAAATATAGTAATAGGAGCTATCCAAAATAAAACAGAAAAAAGTGAAAACAATTGACCAGAACATAACTGCTGAGAGAGCATCACATAGTCTAATATATGGGTACTGAGCATCCTAGAAAGAAAAAAAGAACAGAAAATTTTTGTTGAAGAAATAATGACTGCAATTTTTCCAATTTTTGACAAAAATTATAAGCACATCAAGATACAGCATAGCATAATGAAATTGCTTCAGAGATAAAGAGAATGTTAAAAGCCATCGGGGCGGGGGGGGGGGGAGGGGGGAACACATTACACCTAGAGGAAATAAATAAGAATAACAGCAACTTCTGGTCAGAAAAAGACATGCTAGAAGATAAATAGAGTGATATTTTTAATGTGCTGAAAGAAAAAAACTTTCAACCTATAATACTAGATGCAACAAAAATCTTTTTCAAAAAAGGCAAAATATTTCAGACAAACACTGAGCAATTTCACCAGTAGACCAGCACTACAAATTATCATTTAATAATGAGTACAAAATAAGGACATTTCCCAACAAATCTTGGAAAGTTTCTCTTGAAAAAGATTACCAGAAGACATTCTTAGCATGAAGAAAAATAAACTGAAGGAAGACTAGGAAGATATAAAGAAAAATGCTACAGGAAAAATATCTGTAAATCTTAATAATTCTAATAATTGTTTTAAAACATTTTAAATTAAAACCTGTAACTAAAATTCCTGATGCTGTTAACATAAAAGGTATGGGGCAAGGGAAAATGCTGGAGGATCTATTCTACTATCCATTAGCAGCATAAAAATAGAGATTAATTCCAGATATTAGAGAAACATAAACTACTGTTTGTTAAAAGGGTAACTATTAAACGTAGCTATCTTTCTATAACATATTTCAAAGGAAAAAAATCCTAAATTGGAATAATTGCATTAATTCATAAAGATACCATTTATGAACTTACAGTAAATATGTCTAATCAAAATATGTTACCATGTAATTGACCTATTTCCTCTGTGAGCATGATGCTTCATGGAGTACTAAGCTGAGAGAAATAATCACTGTGTACTTCTACAAATCATAACTTTTAATACGCTTTTGTTTCTAATTTGCTATTGAGTAAATATGTAATTACACATACTTATCCAAATGTTTATTTCCCTTTTTTCTTTACATTCTCTGTTACTTAAAAGTATTTAAAACCAAAAGCATATGGAGAAATAAAATGAGTAATAATATAAGAACTAATTTATTCACTATAAGTATATGTTACTATTTTTAAAGGAAAGATACAGCCATGAATTTATTCCCAACAACAGTATTTTACCCTAGCTTTAAAAGATATAGCAGAAGAGGAGTTAAATAAGTTAAGATACATCACAACTTTACATTTTGCAAATGTTTAGAGGAAATGTTTGTCAAAGATTACAGTTCTTTTCATTTATACCTACCTTATTCCAGACCTTCACTTTGAATACTAATATGTTCAAAAACCTCAAGAGAAAAAAAATCATACCATATGTCCTTCAGCTCGAGCTTTATTCTGCCTTGCTTCCCATTTTCGTTGTAGGTACTCTTCTACTTGTTTAGCTCTTTCCACAGCTAGCTGCCCCCTTTGCCTGGATAATTTAGATAAATAGCAAATTCAGAAATTCTGAACATTAAATATTCCATAAAGTTAAAAATTATTCTGAATCTTTTCTTTGTTGCAGAATATGAAAAAAGACTCATGAAATAAAACCTTCCTCTATTATGAAGAAATACCTACATGTATATTAGTGTCTACTCCCTAGAACAAATTCTTTACTGTTTTAAGTATTAATAGAAGTAAAATCTATACTATCATTCCAAATCATAACAAGGTTACTCTTACATTTATTTAATCAATTCTACTTATAGATACATAAATTAATTTAGACTATATTTAATTAAAGAAGAATCTCAAGAATCTCAATCTCAATAGCTTCCAAGTACAGGTAGTCCTCGGGTTACATCACACTCGATGTACATCATATCATAGTTATGTCACCATCTCTCATTTATTTATTTAAAAAAAATTCCATCATTTCAATGTATGTACCTATATGCTTTATGTTTTTTATTATTTACTGTATTTACCATAAGTAAAGGTCTGGAATTGTTAACTTTCTTTTAATTTTTTTTTTTTTTTTTTACAGTTTCATTTTATTACTGCTGTGTATGTGCCCCATGTGAGTGACCGAGGTGCTTAGGTAGGTGGGTTCCGACTTATGGCGAAAATCGCGTTACATCACACTCTAGGAATGATCCTCTAACATATCCCAAGGACCTACTGTAGTTAAGCGTATTTCAGGATTCTGCATAAAATATATCTAAGATCTTTCTCTTAATTAGTATTGAAGTAAAATTAAAGCAGTATAGTAGCAATTTCAAAAATAAAAAGTTTGTGTGAAATTTCAAAAATACAGTAAAAAACAATGCCCGAATTCCTTAAATATCAGCACTATGAAAAAGCAAAATAGTTATGCTAGGGAAAAAATTAATAGCACAGTTGTTTGTTTTTATCTTTTCCAATTACATGTCTCTATCTTCCTTTGACAATTACTAAAGAATGTAGTAAACATGTTGAGTCCAGACTACAAATAAAAATAACAATAACAAACATTAACTGAACATCTAATATATACACAAGCTTCCTACAGACTTTCTTTAGGATCATAATTAAGTTATTGTCTGAAAAACACATGCAATAATGCATTTTCTGTCTTCTGGTAGGTTTAAACACTTTGAATATTTATGCCTCAAATAATAATTTCCTTTATATGTTTTGTTAACTAGTAATTAAACATTTTTTTAGAAATGAAATTAAGCTATTAAAACTTAAAATCTGTTCCACCACAAAGCTATGAATGAACGTGTTCTAAGGTTCATTTATCTTATGTGGTGCTTAAAGGAGATTCTTGTGAAATTTCCATCCCTGGAATTTTCTAGGATTAGATAATCTCTAAAGCTGGTTAACAGCCTTTTATTATGACTGAGATATGTCTAGGCAGCTAAATTTTAATCTAGATTCACATTACCAAATTCAGAAAAACACTCCACCCAAACCATGGTAGCTTGAGTAGATTAAGAATAATGAAAGAGAAAGTTGTTTATGCCTCTGTAGTGCACATGTGCTATACTCTACCAGTCATATTATGTACTGCACAGCTCTGAGATTAATAGGGTGCATCTGGCCTGGATGCAACCTGTGTCCTCAACATATTCAGGCAAGGCTATACCATAGCCTACTATAGTCCCATTTAAATAAAGCTGGGCCTAAAAAGGGTAGACAAAATTTCAGAGGGTATGATGCTCAGCCATGTCTCCTGAAACTACAGGTTTACTGTTAGGCTCTTTTGGGGGGTCCTGGGAAAGGGGTGTGGAGGGTGAAGGAAGAGACTGGATAAAAATTGTACACCTATGGCCGAAACCGATTTGGCTCAATGGATAGAGCGTTGCCTTGGGGACTGAAAGGTCCCAGGGTTCGATTCCGGTCAAGGGCATGTACCTTGGTTGCGGGCATATCCCCAGTAGAAGGTGTGCAAGAGGCAGCTGATCGATGACTCTCTCTCATCAATGTTTCTAACTCTCTATGTCTCTCCCTTCCTCTCTGTACAAAATCAATAAAATATATTAAAAAATTGTACACCTATGGATGAGGACAGTGATGGGGAGGTAAGGGCAGAGGGTGGGGTAGGAACTTGGTGGAGGGAGCTATTGGGGGGGAAGGGAAGAGGAACAATTGTAATAATCTGAACACTAAGATTTATTTTAAACACACACACACACACACAAAAAAAAAATTACAAACAAGGATGCATTTATGGATCATTACAGTCCGACCTGTTTGCAATGGCTTAGTTACACATGGTCTTCAATCTCTTCAAAGTTTCTCGGACGGCATCAGCATTAGAGAAATAGAGATGAACTGCAGCCCCATTGGGAAATCCTGAATGTACTCCCGGTGATATTCTTCTTTAGGTAAATATGCACAATGACTTTTACTATTTTCTCTGAAGCAAAGCACAAGCAACTTCGCCTACCTTTCTGGAAGCCTTCGGCCATATATTTCTCCTCTCCATTTAGCTTCATTATCTTCTGCTCTACGTTGCTGCATTCGATCAAAAATAGCATGATAATGTTCATATTGTCCCCGAGGAGAAAAAGATGATGGAGCCACAGCCCCTCCACTGCCAAAAAAGGTAGCCTAGGAATTAAAAAAAAGAGAGCTCTCAAATCATTCTCTCATAATACTTAAAACACACATACCATTCCCAAAAGAAAAAAAATTCAACACTTGGCTTTTAAAGGGCAATTATCTAATTTGAAAATATTAATAAACATATTGCCTAAGGAAAATGTCTTCCTACTATATTGTAATTATTAATAAAAAAGTAATCCTTTGTAACTAACAATAAAGCATAATTAATGCAACAAACAAAAATATAAAATGTCACTAAATTCATGTATAATAGGAAAAAATCTGGTCTTAATTAACATGTTTTGAAACAAGATTCTAGTATATATTTTATGTGATCCCATTCTTTAAGTTTAAATATATATAGCTTATAAGTAAAGCAGTGTTGCTTTTGTAACATTCAAAATTATATTTAAAAAAACATTTGCATATGGTATTTAACATACCCCAAATCTTTCAATTCAACAAGTAATGAAGACTACTGAAACATGCTCTAGGTATAAATAAAAGAAACAAAAACACCATATAGATTCTTAAGCACAAAACTAGAAAAATATTTCATGCCTATGGCAAATGAACGGTCATAGGCACACTCTAAAGCAGTTGGTACTGAGTAAACTTACAAAATAGAAAAAAAATTGTCATTGTAAAAGTTAAAAAAAATTCTCTAAAAATAAAAAAATTAAAGAAAAAACACTGGAAAATATATTGTTTAACCTAGCCTTGAAAGCAATAGAGAGGGAAAGGAATGGAGGGAGGGAGGGAGGGAGGGAGGGAGATAGAGAGAGAGAGAGAGAGAGAGAGAGATTTTAAATGAGACAGTATTAAAGCAAAAATAAGCAATGTACATATATATTTGGGTGTTGGCAGTACGGAGAGGAATTAGGAAGACATAATTAGAAGGAATGCAAATAGGGGGCAATAAACTTGGTCATAAAAGGTTGGTACAGGCTAACTACTATCAAACCTGGGTGTTTGAGTTCATATAATAAACAACAGAGAGTATTTATAAACTTTATAGTGGGAATAAAATACAAAAACAAATTTTAAGAAATTCAGTTAAGGCAAAATATGCATAATAAACAGGCATGAGAAAGAGAACAAGGTTGAAGATAATTAGAAGATTTGTTGCCCTGACACAAAGTCAAGAAGCCTAGAAATAAAAGACATTCAGTTAAAACGTGATTGTAGGGAGCAGCTATATAGTTAAGCCTAGGATTGACCTGTGGTAGAGCCACAAACAAGTCCCAGGTTAGATGGCAGAACCCTCTTAGCATAATTAAGCTTGACCTTGTGGCCACCCTCTAGATCCTTCCTAGGTAGCTAATGGACTGTGGGGGGTGCAGCAAGTGCTGCCAAACAAGTGAAACTCACAGGAACATTGTAACCATATTGACCAGCTCCTTGTTTATCTGTGACTATAAAATAAAGCCTCAGTTTATAGGCTGGGGTCTTTCTGTGTCTTTATCCAGGCACAGGAGCTCCATCAAGACCCAGCTATATTCTTTTTGTCTGTCTTTTCTTCAATCCTTCACCACCCTCACTCAGGCTCACTGAACTCTTGGCTGAGCTGGCCTGGCACAAGTGATTAAGGGAGCTCTGGATTCTCCACGGGAATGACGAAAGATAAAGGCAAAAACATAAGGATAGCCGAAACCGGTTTGGCTCAGTGGTAAAGCGTCGGTCTGCTGACTGAAAGGTCCCGGGTTCGATTCCAGTCAAGGGCATGTACCTTGGTTGCGGCACATCCCTGGTTGGGGGTGTGCAAGAGGCAGCTGGTTAATGTTTCTCTCTCATCGACGTTTCTAGCTCTCTATCTCTCTCTCTTCCTCTCTGTAAAAAATCAATAAAATATATTTAAAAAAACAAAACAAAACAAAAAAACATAAGGATATAACCTCAGACACATAAGAATTCAAGCACATAGAAAACTCAAAGTTAGAAAATAGAGATATCAGAAAAGGGTAAGAGTTAAAAAGAAGTAAGTGTATAAAGTTGCAGATGTCACAGTGGAAGAATATCACTGAGATGAGGAAACCAATGACCTCAAATGCAGAGGTTAAAGCATTTAAAATAAAACATACTGCAATGACTAAAGTTGAGGGGTAATGTTTAAAAAACCCGTTTTTGTGAAGTGATGAGAACAGAATCCAGAACACTGACAGTAAAGAAAAGCTTCCAAGTGATAACATCTTAAGGAAGAAGTCTGAATAACAAGAAATACAAAGAAAAATATTAGGATAAAATAAATTTCAGTGTACTCTACGAGATAGAATTTGTGCGAACAACTTGACACAGTGGGTTGCAATTATAAGAAAGATTAATTTTGCCCAGGTTCATAGGTTGAGCATTAACCTATGAACCAGGAGGTCACAGTTCAATTTTCAGTCAGGGCACTTGCCCATGTTGCCCATTGTGGGGTGTGCAGGAGGCAGCCACTCAATGATTCTTTCTCATCTTTGATGTTTCTCTCTCTCCCTCTCCCTTCTGTCTGAAATCAATAAAAATATATCTTTTAAAAATCAGAAAGATTTTAAAATATCAGCTCAAGATAAAAACTGATAACTGCCGAAACCGGTTTGGCTCAATGGTAGAGCGTATGTCTACGGACTGAAGGGTCCTGGGTTCGATTTCGGTCAAGGGCATGTACATTTGGCATGTACATTGGTTGCGGGCACATCCCCCTTAGGGAGTGTGCAGGAGGCAGCTGATGGATGTTTCTCTCTTATCAATGTTTCTTTCTTTTCTTTTTTTTAATATATTATACTTATTTTTTACAGAGAGGAAGAGAGAGGGATAGAGAGTTAGAAACATCAATGAGAGAGAATAATCTATCAGTTGCCTCTTGCACAACCCCTACTGGGAATGTGCCCGCAACCAAGGTACATGCCCTTGACCAGAATCAAACCCGGGACCTTTCAGTCCACAGGCTGACGCTCTATCCACTGAGCCAAACTGGTTTCGACTCATCGACGTTTCTAGCTCTCTATCTCTCTCCCTTCCTCTCTGTAAAAAAACAAAACAAAACAAAACAAAACTGATAACTGATTAAAGATGTCTGAATAGCAAGAGATGAAAGTTGCTAGAAATAGGTAAGAAAATTAGGCAGGAGCCAAGACCGGTTTGGCTCAGTGGTAGAGCGTCGGTCTGCGGACTGAAAGGTCCTGGGTTTGATTCTGGTCAAGGGCATGTACATTGGTTGCGGGCACATCTCCAGTGGGGGATGTGCAAGAGGCAGCTGGTTGATGTTTCTCTCTCATCGATGTTTCTAGCTCTCTATCCTTCTCCCTTCCTCTCTGTAAAAAATCAATAAAATATATTTAAAAAAAAGAAAATTAGGCAGGAAACTCCATTCAGGTGTTCCTCACACATCTCCAAAATGTCAATCTCAAGGCAAGCATCAGAATCAGAATTCTGATGAAAGTTAGTCACTTCTCCAGAAAAGGGTTTACTATTTGAATTTAGTCTGGTGTGAATATCTTCTTAACTTCATTTGAGTGTTGCAATGTTTTACTTTAACAAAATTATGTAAACAAAAGTATGTAAACATCTCTGAAGATTCCTATACTGAAAATAACGTTGAAAATACTGTAATAGAATATAGAAGCAATATGACCTTTGAAAAATCACTTATTTCATCCAATATAAGCACAGGTTGATGAATTTTGACAAATGTATATATTTGTGCAGCTACTACCACAATCAAAAGCACATCCATCACCCCACCAAGTCCCCTCATGTTCCTTTGAAGTCAATGCCTCCCCACTCCAGCAACTACCAATCTGCTCTGTTCTATAAATGAAAGTTGCCGTTTCTATAATTTCATATAAATGGAATCATGCAATCTGTACTCATGTCTGACTTCTTATACTCAGTATGTTTTGACTGTTCCATGTCGTTGAATGTATTAACAGTCTACTCCTTTTTATTGCTAAATAGTATTCAAATATATTTTCAAACAATAGATATGCCTCTTAAATATTATGATCAACACATTATCAAACTATATAAGTGGAATATTTCATAATTTTTCTAAAACCACATTTATAAGAGATACATCAAAAATGGATAAAGCAAAAGTGTCCCAGATTTTGCAGATACTAAATAATCAAAGACAGCTGGTTATTTATACTATGAAGAATGTGTTTATTTTTTAGAGGTATATAATTATATTAATTTTGAAATACTTCCCTTAATATTTATTTTTTATTTCATCTTTATTTTGGGAATTTCCTTAATTTGATTAACATTATACTGAGTCTCCAGGTCCTTATAAACTGTTCAGAAATCAAATGGTCTAGGAAGTTAAATATTTCAAACCTCATCAGGAATAAGCACAGAAATTAACATAGATTTAGTCATGAGAAAATTTTTTTTAGGGCAAATAAATTACTTTATTAATGCTCAGTGACAGCATTATAGAATTTATAAAGTGAAGCAGAAATCTGTTAAATACATAGTATCTAACACTGTGGAAAAATTGTGTCAATTAGTTATCAAACAACATTGACAAAAATGAACTTTAGGATTAAGTACACCATTAGACAGGATAGTAAAAAAAAGGATAGTTTATTGCACAGAAAAAGATATACACAAAGGGAGAAGAAAAATAATCAAACTTTCAACATTAATCATGGACTTGATATGAAATACTTGACAATATCTGAGGGCCTAACTCTGATTGATAAGTCTTTACTTTCCAATGAGATAAGAGGTTATTTTAGAATGAGTCAAATTCTGTCTGAGTTATTCCTGATCATTCAGGAGGTAATAAGCTGTACTTCCTAGTAGATAGTATAGTACAAAAATAACAAAATGAAATTTTAAAATAAAGTTGTATTACTGAAGATTGTACATCTATACTAATACAGAATTAGAAAAAGTGACTCAAGAAAGTCAGGATAGAACATATATGTCTACATAAACCAAACAAAGCAGACTTTTATTCATATTATAACTTTTGAAGAATAGAAACAAGTAAGAATGGTAATCAATTCAAACTAACAAATACATATCTCCAGTACCTAAATATCAAGTTTAATGAGAATGCATCATGGAATTTAGTTTAAAGAAGGGTTGACTAACAGTTGATTGGATGGTACAAATTAATACAGAGGAATAATAATATGTTCATTTTTACAGCTATGTAACAAATGCCCACAAACTTAACAAATTAAAACAATATCCATTTATTATCTCATCCCTTGCTTAGAAGTCTGGGTATCCTGCTCAGAATCTCACCAGGCAGAAACCAAGGTTCAGCCAAGGCTGCTGAGGCTCAGGATCCTTTTCCAAGCTCACTGGTTCTTGGCAGAGTTCATGTCCTTGTAGCTGCAATGGCTAAGGTCACTCTTTCCTTGGCCAGAAACCACTACCAATTCCCAGAGATCACTAATTTCCTTGCCATGTGAATACTTGCCAACAGAAGCATACCTATCACTAACCTTCTTCTCCCCGTCCAGGCTGCTGAGGGAATCGTGAATCAGATATTAATGAAATCACAGGAGTGACTATCACCTCTACCATCACCTTTTGCCATAAAATATAGCCTCATTAAGGAGCTGCTATATTACCATATTCACAAGTTCCACCAATACTCAAGGGGAGGGAAAAATACAAGGTGTGTACACCAGGGGTCAGGAATTTTGGGGACCATCTTAGATGTCAGCCTACATAGATAGGTAAAGATGCTCCCCGAGCAAAAGAGGAAATGCAATACAAAGATTAGCAGAACAACAAAAGAAGCAGGACATTAACATATGAGTCCTTGCTAACCAAGCTCCAGGAGTTCTTAAGTTTTTTAAAAAAAATAAGAACTTAAGGCTCAGAAAACTTAAGTAATTTGCATACATTATATACTAGTATTCTGGATCTATCCAAAACAAATGTTTGAATTAATAGATCTACATAAATTGTTAGTTAGGTAACTGGTTATTTAATAAACAATTAATGATTAGCTTCCTTATTTTCTTTTTTTTAAGGTTAGAGATGGGAATGAGAGTGAGGAGACAGGGAAGGCTACTATCAAATGCAGAGAAACACAAATGAAAAGAAAAAATTAAGTAGACCTCACTCCATAAGAAAACAAGTACGGTCTTTAGTTCATCATGACTAGAGCATACAGTGTATGGTAGGGAAGGATGGACAGAAGTTTAGAGAGATTGATAGGGGCCAAGTTGTTTTTCTGAAAACTTAATCTTGGAGGACACATGAAGCTGCAGAGGATATAAGGCAAATTTGATTTGATTTGATTTTAAATAGATTCTTCTGACAGGAATAGTGTATCCACAGCCTTTACATAAAAAAAAATTTAAGCAATTGCCAGTTATATATTAGTTATCAATACAAGTTACATATCAAATAAATGCAGAAAAACTAAGAATTCATAATAGATGAATTTGTATATGTTAAAATGTAATTGTAGATAAAATGTAAATGTACAAATGTACACCTAAAGAGAGCCAATTCTATATATTTTAAAAAGGTGAAACTAGAAAAAGAGTGGCAGTACTATGTTGGTATCAAGTGCCTACCTTTACTTCACCACCTCCTCCAGCACTTAGCACGTTTTTCCATCCTTGTTCCCTGGCCCTATTTATTCTCTCCAACTTTGGGGGAAAGGAAACAAACAAACAAAACACCATTTCAAGTATTTAATATAAAATACATAAAATACATTTAGTGATGAAATGGAAATCAGTGTTCTTTTTTTAAAAAGTGTTTGTGGGGAGGGAGTGGAATATAACAGGAAAAAATAAATTATCCTCTTACCCTTTCCTTTTCTTGCCTTTTCAGTTGTTCAGCCTTCATTAAACTAATCTGTAACAATTTTAAAGACAAATTTTATGAACCCTTGAAACTAATATCTGCAGCATGGCAAGGGAAGAAGCAAAAAGCAAAAAAAAAGACAACTACCTGATCTTTTTGTTTCTTTGCTTTATCAATAAATTCCAACCTTCTCTTTCTTGATGCTTCCTTAAATAAACAAGAATATTTTAATCAATAATATTTTCTTTTTTCTTTTTTTAAATATATTTTATTGATTTTTTACAGAGAGAGGAAGAGAGAGGGAGAGTTAGAAACATCGATGAGAGAGAATCATCGATCAGCTGCCTCCTGCACACCCCCTACTGAGGATGTGGCCCCAACCAATGTACATGTCCTTGACTAGAATCGAACCTGGGACCTTTCAGTCTGCAGGCCGACGCTCTATCCACTGAGCCAAACAGGTTTCGGCTAATTGATAATATTTTCTACTTTTCCTAGTACATCAGGAAAGTTAGCACACCAAAGGTAAAGGTATGCCCAGGGAGGTAAAAAAAAAAAAAAAAAAAAAAAAAATTTTAAATTTCAAGGACTTGTTTGTTTGTTTATTTTTTTAAGAAATAAGGAGGAAAGGTTTGGAGGTTTTTCTGTAGCTTTTGTTTCTTTTCTTATAATTATTTTTGCAAAGCTTTAAAATAAGCAGACAGATGTCTTTATACCTCAAACATTTTCCTCCTTTCTTCTCCAGGATTCACTTTCTTCAATGGAGTTTGATGGGCCTGGACAAAAAGTAAAACTACAAATTAGATAAGGAATTGTTATCTACATGTGTATCTGCATTTGTTTTCTACATTGATATACATAAAGAACAATAGCTCTCAAGCTTTTCCTAAAAGTAACCAGCAGTAAGAAATGTATTTCACATCCAGACCCAGTAAAGACACACACATTCCCAAAGTTTCATAACATACCATTACTATGTTTAGTTACTTTCCATTCTAACCCCTTTTAAAAAGTCCTTGCTCTTCATCCACTAAAATAATTTTGTCACTCCTAATAGAGAGCACTATACAGTTTTTAAATAGTCAAGAGAGAGCTCTGGAGTGACTGTTATGGAAGTTTAAGGGGGAAAAACACAGACACACAACTATAGATATTGCTCTTCATAGTTTATAAACACACAGTTAACATTTTAAAGTATGTTCTATTATGTAAAATTTAAACTAGTGGGAAATGCTACTTAGTAGCTTTGTATAAATACACATTTCTTCCATACAACAGAATATTATTTGGCAATAGAAAGGAATAAAGTACTGATACATGCTACAACATCGATACATGCTACAAACTTGTAAGCATTATGTTAAATAAAAATTCCAGTCGCATACTGTATGATTCCAATTATATGAACCATCCAGAATAAGCAAACGTATACAGAGACAGAAGTAGATTAGTGGCTCCTGAGGGGTATGGAGGTGGGGGACAAATGGGAAGTGAATGCTAATGGGAAAAAGATTAGGTTGTTATAGAAATGTTCTAAAATTGATTGCAATGATGGTTGCACAACTCCGGGAATACACTGAAAATCATTTAATTCCAAACTTTATATGGATGAATTGTATGATATTTAAATTATGTACATACTTTATAGATAAGACAATTGCATATCTACATGTCCACCCATATGTACATTTCTTATTGAGCTAATAATCGAAATAAAGCTGTTTTTAAAAAATACGTATCCCAAAAAGTTGTTGAATCACAATTTTTGGACCTGGGGCCCTGCATTCTAGTTATCTATTTCATGGATAACTCCTAAGTGGCTGGTCTAGCACTAGTATCAAAATTGGTGAATCACAAGCACCAAACAATTTAAAAATATTAATGCAAGCATTACAGATTATTACTGTAAATGATCAGCTTTTAAACATGTTAATAACAAGAATAATGTAGAATAAGAAGAGAATGTTTAAATAAGATACCTGCAAACTCTAGGGTAAGTTACAAGAAATCATAAGTTATGTTCACCTTTTAATGTTCCAAATTGCCTTCCATATAAAATGCTCAAACATTTGTGAAATAAAAATATCAAACAGTTTCTCTGACATCACACAAGTACTTTCAGAACACTATGTCTACACAGAAGAGAAAAATATGGTAACATAAAACATGCACACTAAGAGAAATGTTTTGTGTTTCTTTTTAAAACTAGAGACAAAATACTGAAATGTGTTCATGGAACGCCCTCTGGTGGCTTAATAACCACTCCTTTGTTTTAACAGAGCCTTTAAAAAAGAACAGGGATGGAGCAAAGACAGTTTTATGGTATGTTAGTATTTTATGATATGCTGAGTAATAACGTAACATATATAAGCTAAAATTGTGAAATTAAAACTAAATGAAAAACAATATCATTAAGCAATATATTAATAGTTTTCCTTATGAACTCATTTTTAAGTTTGATAGAAAGTTAAAAAATCTAAAAGATGCTTCTTTAGATTTCCAGGAAAAAATGAAGTCTTTATAAAAAAAAAATAGTCATGTAAAAACCCGGGGGGTGGGGGGGAAGGGGACCACTTATTTTTAAAATCTTATTTAAAATAATTCCAATTTTTTTTTTAGATTTGAAGAACTTTTCAGACATTTGATTGCCACTTCTTTTTTTCTACTTATTATTTTTCCTCTTAAATTTTTTTCTACCTTTTAATGTGGTTAAAATACACATAACATTTACCAATTTAACCATTTTTTTAAAGTATAGTTGTGTAACATTAAGAACATTCACATTGTGTGCATACAAATATAGTTTTTAAGTGGTATATATTAAAATAAGCTATATGATATTTCAAGTACTGATTATTATCTAGTTCTCATTGTTCTGGTTTAGAAAAATCATATTTATTTGCCTAAAAAGTTTAAGGACAACAACTTGCCTGAAATCCAGAACACATAATTATCATCTAAAACATTTATGGGCCATTCAGAATATTTGGTAGAATGTCTATTATTTAGAATATTATTAACTAGAATCTTAACATATCAGAGCATGCTGCTCTTGCATACTGAATAATATTAATTGAAAATGAGAGAAACATTAAGAAAACCCGTATATTTCTTGATTCTATCAGCCATATAAAAGAATATACACTTGGCTACAATCTTCCCTAAACGTAAGAGGCCTTCTGTTATAACATTAGTCCAATCTCACCTAGAGTTCAGACCCCTCCATTCAGTCAGGCTAAAATTTGCTCAAGAGATAAAACAATTGCATATCTACATGTCCACCCCTATGTATATTCCTTATTGAGCTAATAATACAAAGATAGTCCCCAAAATGATAGATTCATTCCCAGAGAGTCTGCCTGTGTGCAGCCAAATGTTAAAATGAACTATGGATGTAATAACTGCCATTTTGGAATAAACATCTCAAAAACTGTCTATGAAATATCTTTACTTTGAATCATATTTCATTTAACTCCATTAGAAGACATAAAACATTTCCAAAGCAATTTTGATCCAAGGCATGAGTTTTTAAAAAAAGAAGACATTCATAGGAATGCATTCTGACTTATTTCATAATATTGAAATATAATCCAATCACTAATAATAAAGAAAAATTTACAGAAAGTATATAAAACATTAAATAAAAACATCAAAATACAAAATCAGAGCCACATTAAAAATATAGGCAATATAATGTTTGACTACTGGGAATATGCTCCTTTCCTTTCAAAAGCATAATAAAAGACCATAGCAAATTTATTGAAATATACACTTTATAGAAAAAAATTCAGATAAAAATTATACCACTTAAATTACTTCAAAGAACCAAATAACTCTAATAAAAATCAAGTTTCTATCTCAAGAATTAAACATAAATATAAAGGATCATTTTCTGCTCAAATTTCTCTTCATCACTTCACACTGAAATAATGTTACCTTTAGGCAGTAGGGATGAAAGTTCAAAAATATTAAGCTTCTGATTGTGCCTAAAAACAGGGTTTTTATTCGGCCTTTAACCAACCCTATTCACTGCTCTTAAAATATTACAGGAAATTGCTTTACTGACTTGGAATTCACTTTATTCAGTAATTTATTTACTCTTTTTTTTTTTTTAAAGAAACTTTAACTAGACTCTTACTTTGTGCAAAATGTATAAAAGATGGTTCCTAACTTCAGAGAGCTGAAAGTTTAGTAAAAATAATAAGAGAATATATATAAGGTGCTAAAGAAGTTCAAATAAGGAAGAAATTATTTTCCTGCCTTTTAGGGGGAGGGTACATTTAGGGAAGAAATAAGAAAGGTCTTGTACTTGAGGTGTTTCCTATTACCTCTCGTAGATCAGTGAAAAAGTTTTATTTTATTTTATTTTATTTTATTAATCTGCACCAAGTCAATTTAAGTTGGTTTAAAAGAGAGAGGCATGGAGAGAGAGGGAGACAGAGCGAGAGAACGAGAGAGCGAGAGAGCGAGAGAGAGAGAGAGAGAGAGAGAGACACATCAATGTGAGAAACACTGATCTGTTGCCTCTTGTACATGCCCGACTGGGGATTCAACCCATAACCTGAGTATGTGTCCTGACTGGGGATTGAACCTACAACCTCTTGGTTTATGGGACGATGCTCCAATCACCTGAGCCACCTAACTAGGGCAGTCAGCAAAGAGCTTTGAACACTAAAGCACACTGCCAATGTGACAGTCTCCCAAGCTATAATACCAGCATTATATTTTTATTAGAGGCCGGGTGCACAAAAATTCATACACTCAGGCAAGTCCCTCATCCCTGACTGCACCCTCTTGCAGACCAGGACCCCTCGGGGGATGTCCACCTCGGGGGGATGTCTCTGGGGGATCTGACCTATGCTGACAGTCAGACATCCCTTGGGCAACCCGGAAGCCCTCAGGGGATGTCCAACTGATGGCTGGGGGCAGGACTAAGCTGCAGTTGGACATCCTTAGCACTTCTGAGGAGGTGGGAGAGCCTCCCGCCACCACCACTGCGCTCACAGCCGTCAGCCAGCTTGTGGCAGAGTGGAGCTCCCCTGTGGGAGCACACTGACCAGCAGGGGGCAGCTCCTGCATTGAGCGTATGCCCCCTGGTGGTCAGTGTGTATCATAGTGACCAGTCATTCCTGGAACATTCTCCTGTTAGGGTCAATTTGCATATTACCCTTTTATTATATAGAATAATCTAGTGCTAACAAAGTGAGCAGTCATCACACAACTTGCTCATTTTTTTTTCAGGCCTTTGTCTCTTTATTTGGAGTATAAGATTTAAGAAGAGAAGAAATATGGTCTTTACTTTGTATTTTCTAAGGATTTACAAAATAATCCAGTATCCATGTGACATATACCTAGCTACACAGAAAGAGAGGCAAAGAAAAAAAAGAACATTTAAAAGGAAGGAAGGGCTAATGAACAAAGACAAGAAAGAAAAAGCATATACATGATGTAATCAGTAACTAGTGCTAATTATATTAGGTTTTAGTATCTTTAGTATTACTATTAACAATACTTTCAGCAGACTACTTATCTTTCTAACTAAACAAAATTGTTACTAAAACTACTTTTTTCCTATTGACCATATGAAATAAGCACACATTCCAGTGTTTTCAAGAGACATAAGCATTATCATTTTCTCTCTCCAGGTTTTGTTTTTTAGTAGTTATCTATTTGCTAAAAAGAATAACAAAAAAGCTTCAGTAGAGGGTTTTGGTTGTTATTCATTCTTTTAAAGAACATTTGAATGACTTGGAAAAGTCTAAGCTATTTGTCCACAACCAATGGAAATGACAACAAAACTCCTTGCTCTCAAGAGTTTTTGCTCTTTTATGGTTAAGACGGACAGTCAACAAATAAAAGGAAAAACACATAGAGCATTAGATAGCGACAATATGGGGAAAAAACAAACAAACAAAGCAGAACAGAGCAAAGAGAACTCTTGGCATGGGGAGAGGGGACAGTCAAGAATGAAGGGTCTATTCATAGGTCCTAGGCAGAGACCTGAAGGAACTAATAGAAAAAAACTATAGTTTCCTCAAGGGACAGTTCTCCAATAGAAAGTACAAATGCATTTTTGTACAATCTATTAAGGGATTCACATGTTTGAAGGCAATGAAGTTCAGTTAGCATGGCTGGACTGGGAATAGAAGGAGGGTCAAAAAGTGAGGCTTGGGGAAGTAAGGGGGCATCAGAGGGCTCTGCAGGCCATTTAAGGGCGCTGGCTTCTCCCTGCGTGAGAAGGAAAGCCACTGGAAAGTTCCAGGAGGAAAGTGCAACAATGTGATCTTCGATGTCAGAGGAGCATTTAGGCTGCTCAAGTGAGAAGAGACTGAAAACCCTAAATTTGAAAGCAGTGAAATCAGCCAGATTACTATCCTGTTTCCCCGAAAATAAGATAGTGTCTTATATTAATTTTTGCTCCCAAAGATGCGCTAGGTCTTATTTTCAGGGGATGTCTTATTTTTCCATGTGCTAGGTCTTATTTTTGGAGGATGTCTTATTTTCGGGGAAACACGGTATTATAACCCAGGTGAAGGATGAAGGGCCAAGGAGGACTAATGTGGTGAAAAATTAATGAGAAATAGTCAGGCCATGAATGTATTTTGAAGGCAGGGTTGCTAGGACATGATGTTTAAAGAGTGGGTAATGATGACCCCAAAGGTTTTGATGAGAAGAAAGGAAAGGACTGAGTTTGCCATTTAATGAAATAAGGAGGAACAGTTTGGGAAGGAGAGGGAATCAGGAGTTCAATTTTACACATGTGAATTCTAGGTGTTTATTAGAAATCCCCACTGGAGATATGAAGACAGAGCTCAAGCGAGAAGTCCAGGCGGGAGATACAAATTTGAGTGTCTGTTTATAGATGCTGTCAGTTAGAGAATCTAGTACCAGAAAGAAACTATCCAAGGACGGACACCTTAAGCCTGCCAGCATTTTGAGGTCAGGGATAGGAGGAACTTGCAAAAGAGACTAAGATTAGCAGTCAACTACTAGGAGAAGAAACAGAAGAATGTAACATTTTGGGCTCAAATGAAGACAATGCTTAAAGAAGAAGAGTAATCAAGTGAATCAGAAGCTGAGGGAGAAGATAACTGACGACTGGACTTAACAACATGGAAGCCACTAATGCCCTCGTCAAGAGCTATGTTGTAATCGCTGTGTCGGGAAGCCCTGAGCAGAATGGATCAAAGCGAAATGAGAAGAGGGGTGGGAGTCAGCACAGACAATGCCAAGGGTAAATTCTGCTGTTAAAGGAAGCAGAGGTAAAGGGAAGCAGCTAGAAGGAGATATGGAGATTAGGAATGTTTGGTTTTTTTTAGAGACTGGAAATACAACATGTTTGTTTGCTAACAGAGATGACTCAGTAGAGAGAAGAAATATAATGATGTAGAAGAGTGCCCAAAGAAGGAAAATAATAATAATAATAATAATAATATACTAGTACACAAATTGCATGGCTGACTACAATTGAGAACAGATCAGCTAAAGTAATAGAAACAAAGGTAGAATATTTCAAACAAATATGACTGACTGGCAGAAGCGGTGTAGAAAAATTTTCTTATAATGGCTTCTATATTCTTGGTAAGATAAGAAGCAAGGTCATTTGCCTGAAGTGAAAAACTAGGAAGTAAAGAAATTAATCACCTAGAAAATGGGAGGGTAAATGGACTGAGGAAATATCAGAGGGTAGCCAGAAGGTGCTCATTTGACATTGTTGGTTATAAAAGTAAAGTGAGCACAGTTAGAATAGGGCAGGAGAGCTGAGATGCAATTTAAACCAGAGGGGGAGAATATAAACTGGGAGAAAAAGGGCAATGAAAAACTGACAAGTTACATGGGTCCAAATAAGAGAAAGAAATTTTTGGAGGCAGTCTTTGAGGAATGCGCAGGAAATAGGAGGTAATGGTCAGAGAGTGGGATGTTTATTGTTGAAACAACGGAATAGCTCATATCAAATTTGATGGCATATTACAGGTGAGAGTTCTGAGGTATTGTAGGAGACAAGATCATTCATTGAAAGAGAACAATCAAGAAAATAAAAGGTCATGCACTATTGGCACGGTCATCATTTTGGGATGCTAAAATCATCAAGAATGATGACAGTCAGGAATTAAACTCTTCCAAAAATGAGGGTCTGCAGATGACCCTAACATGGCGGGGTAGCCGGTGATTTAGTCTTCGGTAATGGCAAAAGTGTCAGAGCTTGGGGAGGAGGCGAGGGGTCAGGAAGCAAGGAAATAGTCTGATAGAAGGAAAACACCTCCCTCACCCTACCCTAGACTCAGCAGTAATAGGGATTAAAAAGAAAGTAGTGACCAAGTGAAAGAGCTGTACAACAGTGTGGTCAGAGACTAGCCAGACTTTAGAACAAGAGCAGTGAGGGCAATCTTTAGAAGATTAGAAATACAAGAAATTTTGCTGACAAATGTACTATAAGTGGGTTTTGTGGATGTATATATCTGCTTGTGAATTCTCAAATACAAAAATTTCCCAGATTTTTATCAAGCATATTACAGACTTTTACTTGTTTTATACACACACAGACAAATGGCCCTGCTTAGGTTGTTTAAAAAATTATTTCATTTATAACATCACTTTCTTTTTAATGTGTGAACTACTACTTCAGTTAATATATCTACTTAATGTTTCTTTATGACTTCTGTTAAGTCCTCTTGGTTTTGGAAGACTGGTGAAGCAAAGAACAGCAATATTCTTTAGTAACTAAATAAAAACAATTCTATGAATGTCAAGATAATGGAACTAGATGCAATAAAAAAAAAGGTAAAAGTGAATTTGTTACTAATACACAGTTTGTAACATGATCATACCTGTTTATTTTTTTGGAGTGGCTTCTTTTCATGTAATTTTTTCTCTCCATATTTCTTATATGTTAAAGGCACTCCATATTTAGCAGCAGGCTTTGTAATTTGCTGAGCAGACACAACAGAAGCCAAGCTTTGTCCTGAGGCAGGTCTTTTAGCTACATGAAAAGATAAAAATAATTTTTCCCAGAGTTCTATATGTTAATCTTTAATTTCAAAATTCTTCAAGATAGAACTTTTTCATTTTTATAATCATAAATAGCATGTAGTTTGAAACATTTCATTAAACATATAGTTCCTTAGCACATGTCAATGCCTTGATTATAACTATTTTTCTAAAGCCACTTTTTGAAAGAAGAAAAAGTCACACTCCTATAAGATGCTGAAATTTCTCATATAAAAAAAGTATTTCCCTAAAATTGACTGTGGTTGATCAATGCATCTATCTGTGAATATTCTAGAAAGCACTGAACTCTAGGTTTTAATTGAACAGAATGTGAATTATATCTCAATAAAGCTGTTAAAGATAAATTTTAAAGATAAATTTTAAAAAGAACATTCACTTCTAAACATTTTAATGTTTTAGAAGTTACTTTAAAAATCAGAATATAAACTTTAAGAACAACTGTTAAACATTAATTCTATATCTATAACCAGCTTAATATTTTCTTCATATACAGTCTGAATGTCTATACTTACTGACTTATTGAAGAACACACGCTTTAAAACAATTATTATACCTAAAATCCCATGAAACAGGTACCTTTATGTATTCCTGGTGGGAATATAAATTGGTCAAACTATCAAGAGTGCTAGCTATGTTAAGAAGGTTTACTGAACTCTTCAAAAATTCATTTGAAATAAAAAAAAGACCATAAATAGCTGCAACAATCCTGAGAAAAAAGAACAAAATAGGAGGGATCTCAATAACAGGTATCAAGCTTTATTACAAAGCCACTATTCTCAAAACTGCCTACTACTGGCACAAAAACAGACACATAGACCAGTGAAATAGAAGAGAACCCAGAAATCAACCCAAACCACTATGCTCAATTAATACTTGACAAAGGAGGCATGAACATACAATGGAGTCAAGACAGTCTCTTCAATAAATGGTATTGGAAAAATTGGACAGATACATGCAAAAAAATGAAACTAGACCACCAACTTACACCATAACAAATATGAACTTAAAATGGATGAATAACTTAAATATAAGATGAGAAATCATAAAAATCTTAGAGGAATCCATAGGCAGCATAATCTCAGACAAATGCCAAGGCAATATCTTCACCGATACAGCTCCGAATGCAATAGAAACTAAAGAGAAAATAAACAAATGGGACTACATAAAAATAAAAAAGCTGTACAGCAAAAGAAACCATCAACAAAACAACAAGAAAGCCCAGTGCATGGGAAAATATGTTTGCCAGTGCTATCACCGATAAGGGTTTAATTTCCAATATTTATAGGGAACTCATACAACTTAACAAAAGGAGGATAAACAACCCAATCAAAAAATGGGCAATGGACCTAAGTAGATAATTTTCAAAAGAGGACATAAGGAAGGCCAAGAGACATACGAAAACATGCTCAAAGTCACTAACCATATAAGAGATGCAAATTAAAACAACAATGAGGTACCATCTCACACCTGTCAGATGGCAATCATCAACAAATCAACAAATGACAAGTGCTGGTGAGGATGCAGAGAAAAAGGAACCGTCATGAACTGCTGGTAGGAATGCCGACTGGTACAGCCACTGTGGAAAACAGTATGGAGTTTCCTCAAAAAACTAAAAATGGAACTCCTATTTGACCCAATGATCCCACTTCTAGGAATATATCCCAAGAAACTAGAAACACCAATCAGAAAGGATACATGCACCCCTATGTTCATAGCAGCACAATTTACCATAGCTAAGATTTGAAAACAGCCTAAGTGCCCATCAGCAGGTGAGTGAATTAAAAAATGTAGTACATCTACACAATGGAATGCTACATTGCTATAAAAAGGAAGGAATTCTTACCATTTGCAATAGCATGAATGGACCTGGAGAGCATTATACTAAGCAAAATAAGTCAGTCAGAGAAAAATAAATATCCCATGATCTCACTCATTTGTGAAATATAATGATCAACATAAACTGATGAACAAAAACAGATCCAGAGACAGAGAAGCATCAATCAGATGCTCAAACCTCAGAGGGAAGGCAGGGGAGGGTGGGAGGAAGGGGATATATTAACCAAAAGACTTGTATGCATGCATATAAGCATAACCAATGGACACAGACACCATGGTGGTGAGGGCAAGAGCAAGGGGTAAAGGAGGAGATAATGGGGGGATAAGGGTACATATGTAATACCTTAATCAATAAAGAAAGAAAAAAAGCCCTAACCAGTTTGGCTCAGTGGATAGAGCTTTGGCCTGTGGACTGAAGGGTCCCAGGTTCGATTCCAATCAAGGGCATGTACCTTGGTTGCAGGCACATCCCCAGTAGGGGGTGTGTAGGAGGCAGTTGATCGATATTTCTCTCTCATCGATGTTTCTAACTCTCTATCCCTCTCCCTTTCTTTCTGTAAAAAAATCAATAAAATACATTTTTTAAAAAGGAAAAAAAGAAGAATGTTTATGAATTGACTTTAAAGAAATAGAGAAACAAAAATTTATACACAAGGATGAACCCTGCAGCATTATGTATTAAACTCTTATTGAAGCCTAGACAAGGTTCACTTTTAGGACGATACATTCGAGAAAAACTTTAAACTAATGTCGCTAAAAGAAAAGCCTACTATTTACATCTTCCAAAGATATTACAGGAGGTCAAAGAGTATAGTCTATATCAACAGATTCCTCAAATCCTTTTTCCTCTATTTTCCACATCTACTAAGGCACCTCTCTGATCAAACTGCCCCACATCCTAAGTAGCAGCTTTCTTTCTGCTTCTTCCAGCCTGCTATCTCAGTGTCTTACCATGTGATAAATCAATTTAAATCAATCTCTTCTAACAAGTATTCTTCCTTTTTAGGAAGGGAAAGGAAAGAAAAAAATTAACCAGTAGTTCACAATGAAATGTCACCAGTAAACTCAGTTCTTCATAGAATATTTAGCTGTATTAGAAAATGATCATCATATAATAATTTAAAAGAAACAAATATTTGTTTATAACACAACCCCAATTTTCAATTGTTATACATGTATTATTATAGGAAAAAACACAAATATAACAGTATGTGCTAAGATTTGAGTTTTTGTAGTTATTACTCCTCAGCAGAGGATCTTTTTTCCATTTATTTTTATAGTGAGTGGAAGGGAGGGAGGATGGGGGAGAGAGAAACATTGATTTGCCTCTTGCACTTACCCCAATGGGTGCCATGGATCAAACCTGCAACCCAGGTACATATCCTTGACTGGGAATTGAACCTGCAATCCTTCTGGGCACAGACCAACATTCTAAGCATTCAGTAACACCAGCCAGGGCAAGATTCGAGTTAGTTTTTATCTTCTTCTTTTAATTTTTATAAAGAATACATATTATTCAAGTAACTTAATAAACTTTTATAAAAATAAAAAATAATATCCATTTGATCGGCAGTTTAGAGATTAATAAGTTGGTTTGAAGAGATGAGATATATAGTATACTAGCATAAGGTTTTCCAAACACATAATCCAAATGTATCCTAAAAGGAGCTAAGAAATGTGAAAATAAAATTTTCCTATGAGAGTTCAACTATAAAACTAATCCAGACCACAGAATACAAAGTCATAACATTGTAACCTGGCTACATGTATTAATATCCCCCAGTACATACTGGGCATGTCAGTAAAGGGGCAAGGGGCACAAAAACGTAAAAATGAAGAGTCCCAAGAAACTATATGAATAGTCCCCATTCACTTTCTAGAGAAGAGAAAGCATTACTTATCTGATCTCTAAGCATTTCTCAGACTCAGAGACAAAGCTACTAGTAGGATAAAGAATATAAGGCATTGGAGCCCTCCAACTATTTATAGGCCCATCAGCCAATATAACTCCTATTTTAGTCCCATGCTATTAAACATTTCATCCATCCAACTGCTCTTACAACAAAATAAATTTCTAATTCCTACGCAGGCTTACCCAAGTGGAAAGAATGTGCTGACATGGTACATTTCTGGCCTTTGTGACAATGAGGCTTTTAATTAAGATTTGACTTTTCATAGGCTTGACTTTGACTGCAAAGAGAGCCGTGCTGATTTTGCCATGTCTGTCCTTGTGAATTTTATTTAGAGTGAATTGATTTGCCTGGAACTGACAGTCTCTGCACACTGAGAGGATGAGTCAGGAGTCTTTCAGGAGAGCTAAGTATAACTAGGCTTCCTGGGGAAACTGCCACACCACTTCCAGCTTATCAGGACCCAGTTTCAGGATAGAACATTCATTTTTATTAATCTGCTCACACTCAAAATGGAGTAAAACAGAAAAAACATTATGTTTGGAAAACAATGTACTCGCCCTGGCCGTTGGTGCACAGTGGTTAGAGAGTTGGTCTTCGCAGGACACGGGTTCAATTCCAAGGGCATGTACCTGGGTTTGATTCACCCGCCCCTATGAAAGGAGTACATGCAACCAATCAATGTGTCTTTCTCATGTTGATGGTTTGTTTTTTTTCTCCTCTCTCTCTCCCCCCTCATCCCTTTCTCATCCCTTCCACACTCTGGAAAAAATATCCTTGGGTGAGGATTTACAAAAAAAAAAAAAAGAAAGAAAAGAAAAACAATATACTCTTCAAATCTTAAATAATGTCCACTGATTTTAGAAATCCATTCTGAAGTCATTCTATATGCAAAAAATAGTTTTCCTCTCATGCAAATATATGCATATACATATGCATGGTATAAAAACCATACCCACAATGCTATAAATATTCTACTGTTGATGGTCACATTTAAAAAAATTATCCTTGATAAAGTATCTAACTTCACATTTATTTGTTAAATTATAGAATATAAAGTATTTCTCAAAGAAAAATATTTTACATTAAGATGTACACACTTAAGACACTTTAATTACACCTGTGACAATGTTCTCAGAATATCATCTAAGCATTTGATAAAGACAGAAATTTTCCAAACAGATGACACTTGATATGTTTATTTTTTCATTTAAAATTTTTATTTTACATCCGTGGAAACTATTATAGACCAAACCTCCCACGAACAGTGAAACCTAACAAAAGACCTCTGTACAGATCATCACATCATGTGCTCCTTGGCCTCACTGCAGGCTTCACTCAGTGTGGATGTGCTGGCTTATAAACTCTATCTCGTTAACCGAATGGAAACCCATCACCAAATGACAACCAGAGAAGAAACAGAACTGCCATTAAAGTGGTCATTAAAGTAGCTAGTCCACCAAAGAACTTGTGTGCATATATGCATAGCCCATGAACACAGACAATAGTGTAGTCAAGGCCTGGGGTGGGGCTGGAACAGGAAGGAAAATAGGGGACATCTGTAATACTGTCAACAATAAAAATAAACTTAAAAAAATAACAATTAGTCTGCATTTAATGCATATTAACCAACTCACCAACACAGTTTCAGTACAGTGTCTTAAAACAGTTTTTGGTCATGAAATATAGCAAGACATTGATCAGGCTTTATTTGTTTATCTACAGGCATTTCTTAAACCATAGGAACACCCTACATGTCCAGGAAATGTTTAATACATCATCCATGGATGGCATTTCTTCCAGCCAATGATCTGCAGCCATCATAGACCACTGTGCACAGCTGGTGCTGCACACACTGTCAAAGGGCGACGGAAGTTGCCTATATTTACAGGGTCTGACAGAAACACTCAGCGGAAAATCATACCTGAGTGTGGTGATAATGTTAGGACACTGGACTTGTACTGAGTATGACATTCAGAAAGCTAGGCTTCTGTTAAGGAGGCTGACAGAACAGTACTAGCAGAACACCAAGTTCTAAACTGACCCTTAATTTTTTCCTCCTCCACTATCATTTTATTAATTCTTAAAAAAAAAAAAAATTAGCTACAGTACAAGGAACAATATTATATTTAGTTTCAGGTATATAATCTGGTGATTAGACATTTATATAATTTACAAAGTGATCCCCCAATAAATCTAATATTCACCTGGCACCATACATAGTTATTATGATATTATTTATTATATTCCCTATGTTGTAATTTACATCTAAGACAGATTTCATTTAAGTAAGGCAGACAAAAAATAAAAATTTTGAGATTAATCAGAAGGCATTATATATCATATCATAAATAATTTAAATATGCATTTCATCTGAATTAAATTTATCTGTAATTATACCACTTTATTGTGTCTACATATATCTGTAGAATAATTAGTAAATATTACCACTTAGTATAATTAGTATATTAATATACTAATTATTGAAAACAGATTAAAGAATTCATTAAGTTTCATTTACCTGGTATAGGCTGTGCTCCAACTTTGGAAAATGTTTTTAGACAAAATTCTTCTGCAATAAGCTTAGATTGAAAGAGAGGGGAAAGTAAAAAAAAAAAAAAAACACATTAATAACTGCATTTTTTCCTTCCCTCAATCACATAATTCATTCATCAAATTCCTCTTATGCTCACTGCTTCCCAATCTTACTAATTTATTTTACTTCTCCAAACAAGCTTTTTTGCAAATTAACCTAATTTGGAGACCCACACATACTGCTTACTGTTCTATAGCAATTTAACACAACTACCTCCTATCTGAAATAACCTCTATATTCTATGTGTCCCTTATTTGCTTCAAAACTGACAATTACTTCATTAACCCTTTCTCAATTAACCTCTTAGTTATTTCAACTTAACTCTGAATTTTCTCAGTATCTCTAATAAGTTTTCACTCTTATCAATATATAACTGTAAACATTATTGGCTAATATTTAAATATTCTAACAAAATTTAACAAGTGTCTCTTTTTTTGTTGTTGTTGCTGTTAATCCTCACTTGAGGATATTTTCTCTTCTTTTTCCCCCTAAAGCCAGAGGTTTACTGATTTATTTTTATTTTTTATAATCCTCACCCAAGGATATTTTTCTATTGATTTTTAGAGAGAACAGGAAGGGTAGAGACAGAGACAGAGAGACAGAGAGAGACATCGTTTGGTTGCCTTCTGCACACACTCCGACCAGGGCCAGGGATCAAGCCTGCTGCCAAGGCACATGCCCTTGACCAGAATTGAACCTGGGACCCTTCAGTCCACGCACCAACGCTCTATCCATTGAGCCAAACTGGCTAGGGTCAGAGGTTATTTTTTCCATGGATTTTTTTAGAGAGAGTGGAAGGGAATAGGGAGAGAGGGAGGGAAGAAGGAAGAGGGAGAAAGAGAATGGAAGGAAGGGGACGGGAAGAAAGGGAGGGAGGAAGGAAAAGAGAGAGAAAGAAACATCAATGTGAGAGAGACACACTGAACGGTTGCCTATTGAACCTGCAACCCAGGTAAGTGCCCTTGAATGGGAATCAAACCCAATGTTTTGGTGTGCAGGCCAACACTCTAACCACTGAACAACACCCAACACCAGCCAGGGCAACAAGTGTCTCTTTTTACTATTACTAAAATATTCTATAAATATTTTATGAACATATTCTGGGAAGCAACAATCATTAGTATTGTCTGCAAGTAATTTTTTCCCCCTTACTACTCTTGTTCCCCCTCTTTAAGTACAAACTATCGATATTACACCAACAAAAACTTAACTCAATTTAAGCCTGCTCTTTTTTCTTACTGGGTGGCAGAAGCAAGTTAATTTTTTTTTCCCCAGAGAAATGAACGATGGTGGATAGATTATTCCTACAGTGGCAGTAGACCAGAATCTCCAACAGGCAAAAACTGTAACTGAGATGGTCGTCTTTCCCAGCAAGGATCCCCTTAAAGCAGTTCTCAAAGTCTCATAACAGCAGAGTAAGCATCACCAGGAAAGTATTAAGTTTGCACATTCTCAGGCTCCACCTCTGAATGTGCTTTACCAATTCCAGGCTGCTCCATATTGGGTAATTTCTTCCATTGTTTGAATTTGATTCATTCTTTTCCACAGTGCGAATGCAAATATGAATTGAGAGATGGGGCTTGTAGACTCCAAGAAAATTCTGGAATCCCTATGCTGTTGCTGTCCAATAGAATTGCTACCCATATGTAGCTATTCGGATTAAATTTTTAAATAAATATAATTTGATTTGAAATTCAGCTCCTTAGTCACACCAGTCACATATTAAATGCTCACTAAGCACATATGTCTAGTGACTACAAAGTTGGATAATGCAGATACAAAACACTTCATCATCACAGGAAGTGATGGACAGCACTCAATGGAATACCTAGTGAAGCAGAGCTTACTCATGATTTGTCAAGCCACACCCAGGAAGAAGTTCCTAGAATGTGCAAGATTGAGAAATAGTAATACTGAAAATAGTTCATAAGTTTCAGTAAGGCTCATAACTTGTTTGAAAGTTAAAGCCTTAAAATATGTATCACAAGCTTTCTCACTAGAATACTGAACAAGTGATATTACAGTCATGCATCACATAATGTTTCTGTTTCCCCTCAACGACAGACCACATATGTGACAGTGATTACTAGTTTGCCTAGGTGTGAAGTAGGCTATATAATCTAGGTTTGCGTACTCTATGATGTTCACACAATGACAAAATTGCCTTAACAATGCATTTCTTAGAACATACATCAGTGGTTAACGACACACAACTATACACCAGAAAATAAGTGTAAAGATCAAAAGACTATGAAATCTCAGTGGTGCTTAAATAGCAAAAGGGGCTAAGTGTATATTAAACATGTAATGTCAAATACTCCATTTATTAATAATCACAATTCGTCCTTTTCTCTTTCCATATTATAAGTTCTACATAAATCAGGATTGACTATTTTCTTTTATTGCTATTGAGTTGAATTCTAGTGCTTCAGCTTTGAGACTATATGTCCTAACTGCTTGTATTGAGGGAAAGAAACCTTAGCAAGATTAAATGAAGTCATTCTTTCTTCTTTAGTACTTGCCAAAAAAATAATAGTACATTGCATCATAAAACTGTCCTTGAAAATGTTATTGATAACAAAGGAGTCTCATAAATGACACCTAAATTTCAGAGACTGTTGCTGTATCCTATACAAGTAAATTTTAACCTTCAAGTTTTAATTGGCTTTCTTATTTACTAATGCATTCTCCTGGTAGTAATAAATACACATCTCTGCTTTGTGAAGAATATTTGTTCACAGTAATGTTCTGTTAAGCCAGAATATATATGATACTTCCCTCACCTCTCATAAGCCTACAAAAGTAATAAAACTATGATTTTGCTAAATGTCTAATTACAGAAGAATTTAATAGTGATCATTTAAATTGACAAATAGCACACAAAACATGTAATGCAGAATAATTCCAGTTTCAGGTGATCGTACTTATATTAATAACTTATGCTAAGTGACTTCCTATAAATTTTTCTAAGTCCTGTCAGATTAAAATTCAATTCAACTGAACAAATATTTATTATGCACCTATATGCAAGTACTACAGAAAATATAAACCAATAATCTATTATACATATATGACCAAAGAACAATGATTCCCAATCATTTTCTATCAAATTATAATAATACGTTATAGTAATATACTTATATTAGATAAAGTAATATATTAATAATACTGAATACATATTGAATGCATTGAACACTTAGTATGTGCTGGACATTAAGCACTTTACATGCATTATCACTTTAAATTCTCATAACAACCTCATGATGGAGATATATTAATAACCCCATTGTTCACAAATGAGGAAAGTGAGGCACAGAAAGGTTTAATAATTTTATAGTTAGAAATCTAAGAAGACAGAAAGTAGAAAGGTTGTTGCTAGGCACTAGGGATTGAAAGATGGGGGATAATTGGTTAATGGGTAGAAAGTTTGCTCTACAGGGTGCTAAATAGTGATGATGGCTGCATAGCACTATGAACATATTTAATACCACTGAACTGTGCACCTAAACAGAGTTAAGATAATAAATTTCATGTTGTGTATATTTTACCACAGTAAAAAAAATTGGAAAACAAAATAAATCCAAGAGACAGAGGAATGATTCTGTTCTATTGTGATTTATAATAAAAAATACAGCCAAAACTGGTTTGGCTCAGTGGATAGAGCGTTGGCCTGCAGACTGAAGGGTCCCGGGTTCGATTCCAGTCAAGGGCATGTACATTGGTTGCGGGCACATCCCTGGTGGAGGGTGTGCAGGAGGCAGCTGGTCGATGTTTCTCTGTCATCGATGTTTCTAGCTTTCTATCCCTCTCCCTTCCTCTCTGTAAAAAGTCAATAAAATATATTTTTTTTAAAAAATAAAGAAAGAAATACAGCCCAGCCAGATGGCTGGAACATTGTCCTGTGCACTGAAAGGCTACAGGTTCAATTCTGACTCAGGGCACATACCTAGGTGATGTGTTCAATCCCTGGTCAGGGCGCATACAAGAGGCAACTGATCTATGTTTCTCTCTCCTTTCTCTTCTCTAGTATATACATGTGTATATACATGTATATATATATACTAGAGGCCCAATGCACAAACTCAGGCACCAGTGGGGTCCCTTGGCCTGGTCTGTGGGATCGGGTTGAAACCGGCTCTCCAACATCCCCTGAGGGATCCTGGATTGTGAGAGGGACCACGCCAGTCACGATCAGGGCCAGGGAGGGACACAGGAGGTTGGCCAGCTGGGGAGGGATAGTGGGAAGGCTCCAGAGCATGTCTGGCCCATCTTGCTCAGTCCCAATCAGGTGGACCCTAGCAGCAAGCTAAGCTAAGAGCCGCAGCATCTGCTCCCTGGTGATCAGTGCATGTCATAGCATCTGGTCAACCAGTCAACTGTCTGACTCCTGGTGATCAGTGCACATCACATAGGGAGCAGCTGAATGGCCTTAGCATATCAAAAGCATATTATGCTTTGATTGGTTGAACTGACAACCAGACAACCAGACACTTAGCATACTAGGCTTTTATTATATAGGATGATTTTCATCTAGTTTCTGGCACATAATTCCTAAAAGCTTGGAATTCCCTAACTGTTAAGTGCACAACAGTGTCTTTTGTTATTTATCACAGGCTGCCTTTACCACACCTGAATTTTAGTTAATAAAGTGGCCTTAAGGCTTGGTTGGTATAGCTCAATGGTTGAGCATCAACCTAGGAACCAGAAGGTCACGGTTTAATTCCTGTTCAGGGCACATGCCTGGGTTTTAGGCTTGATCCCTAGTGTGGGGCATACAGGAAGCAGCTGATCAATGAGTCCTTCTCATCATTGATGCTTCTATCTTTCTCCCTTTCTCTATAAAAGCAATAAAAACATTTTTTTAAAGTGACCTTAAGGATGGAAGCTGGTACAAAGAAACCCAAGTGATTAGAAGGTTGGGTTTTTAGTCCCACTCTGTTCTCCAGGAGAGTAGGAAGTCAAATCACTCACTAAGGGCCTATGATTTAATCAATCATACCTCCATAATGAAACCTCCATAAAAAATCCAAATTTGGACTTGTTTGGAGAACTTCCAGGTTGGTAAACATGCCAAGAGGGTGGTAATACCCCAGATCCACAGAGACAAAGCTCCTGCACTCTGACCCTGATGGACCTTACCCTATATAGCTCTTCCTCTGGCTATTCATCTGTACTCTTTTAATGTCCTGTATCATAAACAGGCAAATGTTTCTTTGCATTCTATGAGCTGCTCTAGCTAATTAATTGAACCCAAGAAGGGGAACCTTGATTGGTCAGAACACAAGTGACAACCTTGATTTGCAGTAACTTAAGAGGGGCAGTCTTATGGGACTCAGGGATGAGGCTATCTCCAGGTGAAGTGTCCAGAACCAAGCAGAATTGTAGACACCGGCTGGTATCACAGAATTGCCTGGTGTGAGAAAACGACCATTTGGTGATAAACAGTTAAGGATTAAGTGTTAAGAGGAGACACAGAAGGAATGTGTTCTTTCCAAGAGATGGACTGAAAAGCAAATAGGGAAGGGAAGTTACACAGGAATAGAAAGAAAAATGATCTCAGAACTGTTTGAAAAAGTACTTCATTTCCCACCGCTCCCCCCCACCCCAAGTTCTGATGTATTTGCTCTCCTCAAAACAGAGGAGGGCATGTTCTACTTAAGCACCATAACCTTACTGTTCAATTTTAATTCTACAGAAAAAGAAGGGAAAAAAAACATACCTGAGGTGAGAGAAACTTTTCAATGCGTTTGGCTATAAAACCTTTCTCCAATATGGAGTTCACTGACGGTCTATCCCTAGGATTTCTTTTAAATAACTGAGAGAGCAAACAGCGGAGATCATAAGAATAATGCAGAGACACAGGTGGAAAAGATCCAGATATTATCTTCAGTACCAGGTTTTTCATGTTGCCAGCTTCAAACTAAAATTCAAAAAAATAAATTAACATAGCTAACACATACATACATTGAAAACAGGAATATCAACAATGACAATAGTTCATTTCCTATCAATATAAAACAGAAATACAGTCCACTTCCAAATATTTTAATCACATGTGCTCTCTAGAGCAAGGTTCACTTGGTTGTTTATAAATATATTTAAAAGAGAATACCAGTCCTCATAGTACATTATAACTGGCTATAAGAGTTTTAGTTATTGAAAATATTAAGGGATGGCCTGAAACCGGTTTGGCTCAATGGATAGAGCATCAGCCTGCGGACCGAAAGGTCCCAGGTTCGATTCCAGTCAGGAGCACCTATCTTGGTTGCGGGCACATCCCCAGTAGGAAGTGTGCAGGAGGCAGCTGATTGATGTTTCTCTCTCATCGATGTTTCTAGCTCTCTATTTCACTCTCTTCCTCTCTGTAAAACATCAATAAAATATATTTTTTTAAAATACTAAGGAATGAGATATAAGTAATAATTAAATATTTTATAAAAACATAATAATAATGATGAAAACCAACCAACCAACCTGGTGGTCTTCCTTCTGGTGCTCTTATTGTAGTAACTACAACAAGACATCAATTACAGAACTAAAATATTTTGGAGAAATATAATAAAGTACTAATAAGTTTCCTTTTAAACACTGCTCATTTTTTTTTTAGTGTGTTATGTTTCTAAAAACCATGGAATCAACAATGCAGCAAATATTCCAAAGTCGTAAGTCATAAGTCATATCAATGGGAATACTAAATATTTTAGTATTAAGCAATATAAATTCTAAATAAAATTATTTTAAAAAAATAGAGTGGGCAGTTTAAAATCTTAAGATGATTTCATGTGGAGTTTAAGTAAAATTAAGCTTTGACATCTCGACTAAAATAGTATAGAATGCAAAACCTGGTATAAATTAGGCTCTGGTGATTATACCAATTATAATATAGTTCTGTTAAATGTTAAATTATCTTAGCACATTTCAAATATGTCCTTCAGTTGATTAAAAATTTGAATATAATTCAATTGTATAGAAATATTTATGTAAATAAAAATTCTTTGTACTGTAGAGATAGACTAACAAGTCTTTCTCTACAGTACAAAGAATTTTTATCTATCTCTCAATTGACAAATTCTTCCTAAATAAAGGTAAGAGAATTACTTAATTTTATGTGTCTACTTGAGTAAATAATTCCAAAATATAGACTAATGTTGATAATTAAATGTAGATGAAGCAATGGTGACAGGTAAATGTAAAAATATTCTGACTTAGACTTAAAATGACTGTCACAGAAAAACTAACCCATTCTTTTCTAAATACAGATCCAATAATGACCATCCCATATCACTTTAGCAGTCTGTAAGTTTTTCCTTAAGAAATAAAAGTAAAATCCAAAGCAATACAATAGGAGAGTATGCAAATTTAAGGGGAAAAAAATACTCCTCAAATAATATCAGGAAATAATAACAGGCAAAAAAACTGCTTATATAATATAACTAAATTTTTCAGAGGTAAAACAAAACAAACTCATTTCATAGATTATTCTACAATAAATCTAAAAGGAAATGATAAAATATTACAAGTAGTCATTACTGGTTGAAAACATTGCTTTTGGTATTATTCACTTCTTTATATTTTTTTATGTATGTTGTTAAGTTTTCTGTAATAAAAACACTCCACTGTTTAAACAATGGGAGAAGAATTTAAAAAAAAAAAACAAATTCTGAAATGGAAAGTGACTAAAAATGAACCTTTTTGGACAAGGAATTTCCCTTTTTGGTGTGCTATGTGCCATGTCAAAGAGTCTCAAAAGTGAACATTTTAAAAACTCTGAATTAAAAGGTATTTAAATTCATTTAAAAAATCCCTTTATAAATATGTTGAAAATATTCCGTAATTCCAAACACAGATAATTTGGTTGTTTTGATAAAAACTGCTAAAATGAAACAAATATAATTTGTTAAGCTAAAATATCAAATTCATACATGAATTTGACATTAAAAGTACAGCAAATTTCTGTCTTTAGAAATAATTTTTCAGAAAATGTATAATATATGTATTATAGAACAAATACATAACATGAATTATGTAATAAATGCATACATATTAAGAGAAAGTAAATTAAAATTTACACTTAAGATAATCTGAAATGTTTACAATCTGACAAAGAATTCCTAGTATAAAAGGGTCATCCAAAAGATGGCATATAATTTTTTAAAAAATATTATAGTCACTTTTTGACATGATTTTTAAAATATTTCAGAAACTTCTACTCACTGCATGTTTAAGAGTGCACATCTCATAAAGGACACATCCCAGAGCCCAAATGTCACTAGGAAACAGAAGAATAACACATTTTTTTAAGTTTCAGATTTTACTTAAAATTTTTTTCACTTAAAGAAAACAACAGCAGCATGAAAATGCTGTGCAAAAATATGTTCCATAAAAACATGTCCTTTTAAAACTTAAAATTTCAACCATAACCAAATGATGAAAGTAGCTATCTCAGATTAGAGACATTTAATATTAAAAAAGAAAAACTGGTAAATTTTATGAATATTCCATTGTTATTTTATTTCCATCCAAATACTTTATTCAATTATTTCCAATATGGTACATCTATACAATGGAATGCTATTCAGATGTATAAAAGAAAAAACTCTTACCATTTGCAACAACATGGATGTACCTAGAGAGCATTATGCTAAGTGAAGTAAGCCAGTTAGAAAAGATAAGTATCACATGACCTCACTCATTCGTGGAATCTAACGACCAACATAAACTAATGAACAAAAATAGACCCAGAGACATGGAAACATCAAACAGACTGTCCAACCTCAGAGGGAAGGCAGGAGAGGGTGGAGGGGGAAAGAGATCAACCAATAAACTCATATTCATATATGCATCATCCAAGGACACAGGGAGGTGAAGGCTTGGGTACGGAGCAGAGAGAAGAGGGCAACAGGAGAAAAAAAGGGACATATGGAATACTTTCAACAATAAAGATTTATTAAAAAAAAAAAAAAAAAACTCCATGACTTCTAAAAATATTAAAGTAGGACCCTACTACTTTAGTAGATATAGAAAATATTAATTTACTAAAATTATATCTCAAATAAACCTGAGAGCCAACTGAAACATTAGATAAGAGTAAATATATTAATTTATTTTACTCTAAAATAAAGACTTAATTATACTATCTTCTTTACATATAATCTCTTCTTTTTTTTTCTTCTTTTTTTAAGATATATTTTGTGGGAGAGAAACAAGATGGCAGCATAGGTAAATACCTGTATTTGCTGCCTCCCACAATCTAATCAAAATTACAACTAAAATACATAACAACTATCATCCAGAACCACGGGAAAGTTGGCTGAGTGAGTACCATAACTAGAGAGGTAAAGAAGAAAGTGCATTAAGACTAGTAGGAGGTGCAGAGGCGCAGAAGGGCTGGGACCCAGGTGTGCCACTTTTTTAATCAGAAGGCAGATACAAACTTCCGCTTGCTCTGAGCTCCAGTGGTTGGTGGGGCTCAGGGGGACCCAGACAAATACAGGGTCTGGCATCAGGGCAGGAATGCAGGGGTGGCTTTCTTCCAGTTGGAAGTGCTGGTAGTAGTCATTGCAGGGCTGACAGGCAGCCACTGCTGTTGGCTCCACCCTGGAGATTCTGCTCTACCCAAGTTATAATCCCACCCAAGTTGTGTGTAGCGTCATTTGCATATGAATGGCTTGTCCTCTCTCAGGCTAAAACCTTTAAAACAAGCTGCAATGGGTCAGGGAACCTCAAAGCTATCAAAAGAAGGCCCAATGTCATATCAGCACCAGCCTACCCTGCTTCACAACTGGGCCTCATCTGGGCACTTCCAAACCCGATATAAAGAGGAGGAATCTGCAGATTTCTCTGTAGCTCCTGCTGGGTGCCTCCAGGCAGTGGCAAGTCCAGGAAGGGCAGAGAAGCCCAAACAAGAGGAATCCAAAAAAGACCACAACAAAACACAAAATAATTAAAACGCCAAAGGCAAAAGACAAAGAGAGAATATTAAAAGCAGCACAAGAAAAACAGTTAGTTACCTACAAGGGAGAATCCATAAGACTGTTAGCTGATTTCTCACAAAAACTATGCAGGCCAGAAGGGAGTGGCAAGAAATATTCAAAGTGATGAATAGCAAGAACCTACAACCAAGATTACTCTACCAATCAAGATAGCAAAGCTATCAGATAAAGAGCTTCACTAACAAGAAAAAGCTAAAGGAGTTCATCACAACCAAACCAATATTATATGAAATGCTGAAGGGTATTCTTTAAAAAGAGGAAGAAGAAAAAGGTAAAGATAAAAAATTATGAACTAAGTGACAACAAATACATTCTAAAGTGAATCTAAACATTAAATGAATAAAATATCTGATGAAAAGAATAAACTGGTGAATGTAACAGAATTATAATTCAGTAGAAAGTTATTATTACAAAGAGAAAGACCAAAGAAAGCCCTCTATTTCCAAATATAATTTCAATACTGAATCTTTCTATGGTTCCTTTAGCAAGATAATGAAATAGCTTCTTTACAATTCCCCTCATCATATATTTTTTAAATGTGTGTGTGTGTAGCCAAAGCCAGTTTGGCTCTGTGGATAGAGCGTCAGTCTGCGACTGAAAGGTCCCAGGTTCGATTCTGGCCATGGGCATGTACTTGGTTGTGGGCACATCCCCGGTAAGGGGTGTGCAGGAGGCAGCTGGTCAATATTTCTCTCTCATTGATGTTTCTAGCTCTCTGTCCCTCTCCCTTCTTCTCTGTAAAAAATCAATGAAATATATTTTTTTAAAAAGTGTGTGTGTATATATTTACATATGTATATTAATGATTTTAGAATATTCTTAAGGCTAATATAGTATAATAGATATAGTTAAAGGAAATATACATGTAACAAATATTTTAAATACCTTTTATTATTATAAGGTTTGTTTTCACAGATTTCAGGTGACAAGTAGTATGGGGTACCTATGCAAGTTCGAGCCAGTTCCACAGTACTAGAACAAAAAAAGAATTATTAGAGAAGCTTAAGTTACTTAAAGTTATTATCACATATACATCACCACAAACTTAAACTTTACTAATGATATATTAAAACAAAGTTTAAAACTGATATATTACCTATTTAGAACTCTAGCAATTCCAAAATCTCCAAGTTGTATCGTTCCATCTTTGGTTAAAAATATGTTCTATAAAAGTGAGGAAAAATAACAAAATTATTATTACAGTTTGGTTCTGAGTCAACTTTTTTCATAAAAATGAATGGGAGTTTTAAAAATGCTAGGATAACTCGACATCCACATGCAAAAGAATGTATTCTGATATCTTATATCATATACAAAAATTAATTCAAAATGGACTCTAGATGTAATATAAGAATTAAAACTCTAAGACTCCTACAAGAAAATACAGAAGTAAATCTTCACTGGGCTAGACAACAATTTCTTAGATATAACACCAAAATCTGAAGCAAAAAAAGAAAAATAGAAACTGGATTTCATCAAAATTTTTTAAATTATTGTACATCAAAGAACACCATAAAAAAAGTGATAGCCCACAGAATTGAAAAAAAATTTATTTGCAGGAGTCGTTCCAAGATGGCTGACAGGTAACACCTAGCCGCAGCCGGTGTTTCAATAAAATACAACTAACAACAATTTCAATAAAATACAACTAAAATATAAAATGGACATTACCCAGAACTACAGGAAAGTCGACTGACTGGAAATTCTACAAAGAGAAGCAAGGAGAAAACCAGAAGGAAGCACGGAGGAGCTGGAAAAGCCTAAGGTACGGAGACACACACACACGGCGCGCGGAGAGGACGGAGCCGGAGAGGAGGGAGGCTGAGAGCCTGGCTGACGTTCCCTCGCAGGAAGGAGATAAAAGCTCCGACTGTGCTGGGCCCAGTTCCGACTGCTCTGAACCCCAGTTCTAGGCCAGACCCCCGGGGACCCAGGCTCATCCACAGGGCGCTGGGCTGTAAGGCGGAACCCCAGGGGAGCAGCAAAAGGAGGTCCCGGAGGAGTGCACATTGCACGCAGAGAAGGGACGGTTGGCTGTGCCGAAGGATTGCCCTGGCGGGAAGGAGACAGGGGCTCCAGACTGCTCTGAACGCCACCTCCAATCCCACTACCAACTGAAATGAACCCCAATACCAGGCATAGACCGTTTGGTAGCAGGCGAAAATCGAGGGCACCTTTCTCTCAATGGCGCTTGCAAGGAGTACTGAAGAACCCGCATAGGGCGGGGCTGATGGAAGCCAAAGCTGCAGGCTCCACCCTGATACCCCACCCCATCCAAGCAGAACACAGAGACTTTTAAGGCTACCAACCCAGGAAAGCTGTGAAAATGCCAAGATGAAATAGATCACAAACAAAAGAAATGGAGGACAAAAAGCGACTGGATATAGAGTTCAAATCTACACTTATAAGGTTTTTCAAGAATTTCCTAGAAAAGATGGATAAGACCTATGAGGATATGAAAAGGGATCAACTAGAATTAATAAGGAATCAACAAGAAATGATAAGGGATCAACAAGAAATAAAGACTACATTGACTGAAATAAAAAATATTATACAGAATCCTAAAAACAGAATGGAAGATTGCAAGAATCAAGTCAAAGAGTTGGAACATAAACAGCCAGAAGACACTCCTCCGCAGAAGCTAGAAGGCAAGAGAATCCAGAAAATTGAAGATAATGTTAGAAACCCCTGGGACAACTTCAAGCGAACCAACATCGGAATTATGGGGGTCCCAGAAGATGAGAGAGAGCAAGATATCGAAAACATACTGAAAGAAATAGTGACAGAAAACTTCCCCCACCTGGTGAAAGAATTAGACTTACAAGTCCAGGAAGCACACAGAACTCCAAACAAAAGGAATCCAAAGAGGACCACACCAAAACAAATCATAATTAAAATTCCAAGAGCAAAAGACAAAGAGAGAATATTAAAAGCAGCAAGAGCAAAGAAGGTAGTTACCTATAAAGAAGCACCTATACGATTGTCAGCTGATTTCTCAACAGAAACCATGCAGGCCAGACGGGAATGGCAAGAAATATTCAAGGTGATGAATAGTAAGAACCTACAGCCAAAGATAATCTATCCAGCAAAGCTATCACTCAGAATCGAAGGCCAGATAAAGAGCTTCACTAATAAAAAAAAGCTAAAGGACTTCATCAACACCAAACCAGAATTATATGAATTGCTGAAGGGGGTTCTTTCAGAAGAGAAAGTAAATAAAGATAAAAATTATGAACAACAAATAAGTAACTATCAACAAGTGAATCTAAAAACCAAGGAAATTTAAAAAAAATCTGATGAACAATAGTAACTGTTGAATATAATAGAATCAGAGGTATGGAAGGGGAGTGAACTGACGATTCTTGGGGGAAAGGGGAGAGGGGGATGTGGGAAGAGACTGAACATAAACTGTGCACCTATGGATGAGGACAATGGAGGGTGGGGAAAGGGCAGAGGGTGGGGTGGGAACCTGGTCGAGGAGATCAATGGTGGGGGGGAAGGAACATTTGTAATAATATGAACAATAAAAATTTATTTAAAATTCAAAAATAAATAAATAAATAAATAAATAAATAAATAAATAAATAAATAAATAAAAAAGAAAAAAAATTTATTTGCAAATCCTATATCTGACAAGGAATTTGTATCCAGAATAAAAACTTTTATACTTCAACAGCAATAATAAAAGACAAATAACTCAGTTTTAAAATAGGCAAAGGCACATATTATATGAATCTATTTACATCATATGTCCCAAATAAACAAATCCATAGAGACAGAAAGCAGATTAGTAGTTTCCAAGACCTACGTGGAGTAGGGATAGAGAGTGATTGCTAACAGGTACAGTATTTGGTTTGTTTTTTGAGTGATAAAAAATCTTTGGGAATTAGAAAGTGGTGATGATTTCACAACCCCAGGAACATACTAAAAATCATTGAACTGTACACTTTATTTTTTTTTTTTTTTTTTTTTTTTTTTTTTTAAATATATTTTATTGATTTTGTACAGAGAGGAAGGGAGAGAGATAGAGAGTTAGAAACATCGATGAGAGAGAGTCATCGATCAGCTGCCTCTTGCACACCCCCTACTGGGGATATGCCTGCAACCAAGGTACATGCCCTTGACCGGAATTGAACCCGGGTCCCTTCAGTCCCCAAGCCGACGCTCTATCCATTGAGCCAAACCGGTCTCGGCTGAACTGTACACTTTAAGTGGGTGGATTTTATAGAATATAAAATCAGTAAGCTTTAAAAATTGAATCCCAACCTCCCCCTCCGTCAACTGTCTAAAACTCCTAAGTAGCATTAATGTAACAAATTAATCCTAAAATTTTCTAAAAGTGGAGGGTGGGGCAAGGGGAAAGCAAAATAGTTGAAGTGGATTAAGAGATACAAACTTACAGTAATAAAGTAAGTCATGGGTTGTAATGTACAGCATAGGGAACATATAATATTTTAATAACTTTATATAGTGACAGATGATAACTAGACTTATTGTGATAATTTTGCAATGTGTATATATATATCAAATCATTAAGATGTACATCTGAAACTAATAGGATACTGTATGCCAATTATACTTCAATTTTTTTTTTTTTTAAAGTGCAGTTCATCGAAACCGGTTTGGCTCAGTGGATAGAGTGTTGGTCTGCGAACTGAAAGGTCCCAGGTTCAATTCCGGGCAAGAGCATGTACATTGGTTGTGGGCACATCTTGGGTGAGGAGTGTGCAGGAGGCAGCTGGTCGATGTTTCTCACTCAACGATATTTCTAGCTTTCTATCCCTCTCCCTTCCTCTCTGTAAAAAATCAATAAAATATATTTTAAAAATAAAAGTAAATAAATAAAAAGTGCAGATCCCAGGGCATGATAAAAAAAAAAAAAAAGGTAAAACCGTCTATAGAAATAGATTAATAATTTTTAAAATTTCCAATAATTTACCCAATTATTTTACATTTATAAATATAGAACTCCAATACATTATAAATACAGATCTCCAATACTCTATCAAACAGTGAAGTCAAGATTTTGTGGGATAATATGAATTAAAAATCCATCTTTATCAGTCAGGAGATTTGAATCAGGCACATGTTCAAAGCCAAAGATGACATAAAGTGGGGTTAACAGGGATGGAGTAAAATGGGATGAAATGGGACTAGGCGGCAGGGGGTTGGGAGACAGAAAAAGTGAACAACTTCTGTTTGGCTTCTCACTATTCATCTTGTGGCTATTAGGTTATAAAGAGGCCTGAGATAAGAAGACAGACACTTGGCCCTGACACAGGAAACAAACTTCCTCTTTACTCCCCTTTCTGAAAACTGAGAGAGCTTAAGTGAGACAACCATGGAACCTCTATGCAAAGATGAGTGAGATGTGGGGACGAGCCATACTATAAAGAATATAATGCAAAGAAAATTAGCCCCCCAAAATCATCAGAACATAGATTTGCTCTAGATATAACTAATTTTTAAAAAACAGTCCAACAAAAAAATTTAAGGAAAATGTTTAGAAATTGCAGAGATAAATGATGAAGGGATAAATATCAATTTAAAAAGAACAAGACATTATAAAATAATAACCAATCAGAATGTGAAAATTCATTTTAAAATCTTGCAGAGAAAAAAATTATTATTAAAAAAATAGATGAGAGCCCTGGCAGGGTTAGGGCATTGTCCCAATACGTCAAATTTGCATGCTCAATCCTCAGTCAAGGCACATACAAAAATCAACCAATGAATACATAAATAAATGGAACAACAAATCAATCTCTCTCTCTCTCCCTCTCTCTCCCTCCCCTCCTCTCTTTCTTAAATAAATAAGTATTAAAAAAGTTTTTTAAAAAGTAGATGAGATAAGCACTATTTACACAAGATTAACAAGGTAGGTTGATAAAATTGACCTATAAAATGCAACAGAGAGACAAAGAGATAAAATATGATACAAGATACTTAAAGGGTTAGATTAAGAACCTCTCTCATGTCTAGAAAAAAATTGCAAAGACAACCTTGAAGATAGTAACAACTAATATTTGAAAAAATATAGTTAAACATTTTCCATAACATTTCCTGAGAAACACACATTCCCAGAACAAAATTACACAGCATAATGAATAGAAGCTGATCCTCATAAATGTGCAACACTGAAATTTCATAACAGGAATGGAGAGAATATCCTAAAATCTTCCAGAGAGAAAAAATAAGGGAAAGAATTATGGCTTTAAATTCCTAAACAGCAACTAGAAGTCAAGTGACAAATGAGTGAGATCTTCAAAATTCTATAGAAAAGCAATTTCCAATCTAGAAATTTATATCCAATTATTATTGCCTTCCACACATCCATTTTTAAAAATATTTTTCTGTTATAATGAGAAAGCAAACCAAGATATAGGAAGATATAGGAAGTAGCCAGGAGGCCTAAAACAAGATACTGGTGAAAACTTCTAGGATTAGAGTGAAGAGAGAAAACAGATAATTTGATTCAGATTGGATTGGGTTAAAAATTTTTGGCTCAAGACAATGCTGGTTCCATGTCCATATCCATTCAGAAGTTATTAGTAAATAAGTGGAACATACCTGTGATTTTATGTCTCGATGAAGAATTTTTCTATCATGTACATGTTTTAGTGCCAAACATATCTGTACAAACCAGTCCAAAATCTAGAAGAGGAAAATGAGAGCTGTCATTTCTTTTAAAATTTACGTTTCACAGTGCTCTTTTCTTGAGTACTAAAAGGAGTCAGGAATGAGTTCAAGGGAACTAAGTCCTTTAAAAAAGTGTAGCTATAATTTATTTTTAATTTGTAGCAACTAACATTACATAGGTATTCAAGCCAACTGGCACATTAAAGGTAGGTACATACTAACTTTAAAATGTAAGACACTGCTACTGAATGTCAAAATAAATATGGAAAGAAATTTCTAGAGAGTAGTAAAAATGGAAATTATTTATATTTTATTATAGTATGATACGCAACTTCTGTTTTTAAGGGGTTTTCTTTCTATAATGCTTTATAATGATTTATTTAACATAAAAATTATAAGAGGAAAAAAATCAGGGTGAAAAGTTGGACAACATCTCTTGCTTTTTTTCTCTTCCCACATTTCTCTTACACAAACACATTCTGGAATCAGTCACTTGAAAGTAAAAAGTTTTAATTTATTCCTCAGACCTAATACAAAAATAATTCCAAGTGTGTGTGTGTGTGTGTATACACACACACACACACACACAAAAAAAAAATAGAAGAATACATAGGTTCTTTGATTGAAACAGGACTTTCAAATCATGACACAAACCTCACATATCACATGAAATAAGAATGACAAAGTTGACTCTATAAAATCTAAAGCATCTGCATAACAAAAGATATAATCCACTATAATAATCGTATGAGAAAATATCTGCAGCATAACTGAAAGATTGCTAATTCTCTAATATGTACAAGTTATTTCAAATCACTTTAGAAAATACTGGCAGCCAAAATATATTTGATAACACAAAAATAAAAATGCTATGCTGAAAAGAATGAAGTATTTCTATATACACTGTTAAGTGAAAAAAAATAATGGTGCAGAGCATACTCCTATTTTTTAAAAGTATATTTATGTATATTATATACCTGAACTCTACTAGGTGTACCAGGTAATAATGCAGATTTTTTTAATAGTTGGAGTTAGACATATGTTGATATATACCAAGTGGCTAAATTATTATGATCTCTGAATGCATAATAAACTGGCTACTCAGTGTATAGCCTATATAATAAAAGGCTAATATGTAAATTGTTCCCTCAACCAGGAGTTCGACCAGCAGGCAGGCCGGCCAGCTGCCCATGTTCCCTCTCCCTGGCCAGGCTGGCCGGACCCCATTCATGCACAAATTCATGCACCAGGCCTGAATTTATATATTTACACACACACACACACACACACACACTCACTCACTCACTCACTCACTCACTGAGTGGCCAGATTATCAGATTATTATGTGTTCAGAGGTCATAATAATCTGGCTACTCAGTGTATGTGAGATTTGATATGTATGCTATTTTGTTGCATTGAAAACAAACATAAAAACTTCATATGTCAAATTTATTTATTCTCCAATCCAACAAGGGAGTTTCACAGAAAAACAAGGAGCCTGGGAGGGCCCAGGTCCCACCCACTCCTCCTTCCTGGACAAACACAAGCCAGGAACTAAGAAAATCTCTGCACTCCCAGGGCGGGAGTGCAACTGACATGACTCTATCAATGTCCAGGGCCCAGTCAACAACAATCTAAAGAATGTCCATGTGTCTTCCCAGGTGGCCCTCTACAATGTTCTATCTACTAGATTTAATTGTGGAAAAGGAGATAAGTAAAGCTTGAGAATTATGACATTACCTTACTTAGTAAGGCTTATCTATATATATAAAGCCAAGCAACTTGGAATGATGAAACGATTAAAACAACTAGAATGACCAAATGACCAGTCGCTATGACATGCACTGAGGGGGGCCAACGTGTCCGATCGGCCCCTCTCAACCTCCCCCAGCCAGCCCTGCCCCAATTCCCCCCACTGCAATAGGGGGTGGGGCATGCCAGCCAACCTCCCATGGCCCGGTCCCCACCCATGCACGAATTCGTGCACCAGCCTCTAGTTTAAAATATAAGTCAAGGTCTCACCTTACCATATTTTAAAGTTGCTACTAAGAACCTAAAAGTCCCCACATATATGATATTATCAATCAACAGCTTAGTTGTGCCAATTTGGTGTCTACCACAGACACAGCTTTCCTAAGTACCCTGATATAAATAACTTCAATTTCTGCACTAGAGTAAATTACAACCTAGTTGGGGAAATAATTATGAGGTGAAGTTATTCAGAGTACATTAAGAAGGGTGCATGATATAGGAAAAATAAGTGAAAAGTGAAGACTTGGATGAGTACAATAAAGCACCATATAGTTGTTAAAAGCAACATTTGCACTCATAGCAAAACAGATGAGTCAGAAACATAGCACTTAGGGAAAAAAGTAAAACTAAATGAGTTCTATAATAGGTGTACACTTAAAATACATGTATACAAAACAATTATAGCTGTTTTGAAAAACCACATAAAATATTCATTAGAAACACTAGAATAGCTGCCTATGGAGAAAAGGGGAATGGAAATGGAGTTATGAAGATAAAAGAACAAAAATAAACAAAAAGCACAAGCTTTGTTAGAATGCAACATGATGTAGCTATTAAAATTAATAAATTTGATTTATATAGACTAACAAGATAATGTTGCAGTGATGATGGCAGGACAGAGCATGGTATTCATAATATCCTATTTCTGAATGCGTATGTCTCGATTTTTACATGTATATGTGCAAGTATGAAAAAGAAAGCCTGGAATACACCAAACTAAATCTCAGGGACGAAGTAGTGGAAAAGAGGACTTTCCATTTCTGAACTCTTAAATAATTTTGCAATTTATTTTAAATTAGTAAAAAGAAAGTTCTATAAAATTTGGAGTTGCGAAATGGCTATCATTGTTTGGAGTTAGACAGAAGCACGTTTAAACACTATGTGGTTTTGGAAACACTACTAAATCTCTCAGATTTCTTAGCCACTAAAGAGAAAATAACTACATTAATTCATGGGAGGTTGTAAGAATTAAAACAGACAACCAAAAAAAAAAAAAAAAACCAACAACAACACACTTCTAGCACAGTACTTCCTCCACTTCCCTATGTAAAAGCATACAATAAAAATTAAGTATGGTGATAATGAGAAACACAATTTAGAGAAAGAAAAAGTCATGGAAAATAAGACTTAAGTTGGGCTTTAAAAAAAAAAAACCATAGAAAAAAAACCCAGAATATTAATAAGAGAAAGTTAGAGGTAAGGTATTATCAAAATAAATAATCAGAATAAGCACATAGGAGGAAGAATGAGATGTATAAACATGTGTCCCAGTGCATGCTCAATAAAAGTGTTAAATAAATGAAAAGTATCCACCATTCCTCATGTGCTAGCTGAGGCAATGCAGTTACTGTATATACAACTAGGAAATGGCCACTGACATATTCCTAGAAGATAGGTTTTGATCTGTAACAGTGGACTGTATGTCTTTGTTGGACCTCTTTTTCTTCCACTGTATTGAAAATTTGTCTGGAGCTACATGAAGATCAAAAGGTGTCAGAGCAGGCCTATTCTAGAAAATGAGCACAACTGGAAGACTATCAAGGAAACAGATGTGCTTTGGGGATTATAATATCCACAGGATAGCTCTATGGTAGCACTCACTTTGCTCCATGCTCTATCTCTAGTGCATAACTTGGGTGTAAAAGACACTTGAATATTTGTTGGATGAACAGATTTGACCTTCTTATCTATCTATCTATCTATCTATCTATCTATCTATCTATCTATCTATCTATCTAATTTGTCTATTTATTTAATTTGTAGGCTTTCTTCTCAGGCATAAACTTCCCAGCCTTTTTTGACACTTTAATTTCTCATGTTCCTTTTTTTCTGGCAACAAAAGTGAACTTCTCAAATTGGGCTTCTTTCAGACTAGAATGGTGCCAAGCTGTCTTAACTTCTCTTCACTCTAATACCACTCTGGGGAGCAGGTCAGAGAAACATATCCTATCACAATATGGGGTATCGAGCTCTAAAAGTCTAAAAAAATAATGTTAAAAGCCATTCTGAGACCTGGGAATAGTAAAAAACCACATGAATTCAGGAAAACTATTTTTACACTGCAGAAATTTCTTTTTGAAGCCTATTTATTGAGGCACATGCCAACAGTATAGTGTTGTACGAGTGATGTGAATTAGAGCTTACAAAATGTAAAATAAACAAATAAATAAATAAATGGAAAAAAGTTGAACATTAAAGAATAACAGAAAAAAAATAACATTGCTTAGGAAGGATAGGGTCATATTTTAGAGTTTCTTGAAATCAAAACAGAGGTTAGATTTCATGAAGTTGCCAATACTAGGCTTCTAGAGCTGCAGTTACCTAGAAAAGCCATATTTTAGGAAAACATTGTCGGGCAACAGTAAGCCAGATTGACAGGGTATAAAATTAACCAGTTATAAATGAATAATTAAGGTGTATATATATAAATATAGGTATTATATATATTTGTATATATACATATACAGACAAACATTTATATATACAAACAGTATATTATACAAGGAACAATATTACAGGCAGGAAATGAGATAGAGAACTGAACTAAGATTAGTACAGGAATGTAACTAATATATTAAGAATATGTTACTGAACTACCCTAGTAATTACAATTAGCACTTGTAGTTACAAATAAATACATATATAAATAACTTTGAATTACTTCTAAATAACATTATGGAGGAAGAGTCAATCTCCTAAATGCTAACTCACCTGATCCTCTTGAAACAAAACGCCTTTCTGAGCATTTATTCGTTTAAAAAGATCCCCTCCTTCACAGTAATCCATCACTATGTAGAGAGAGCCATTTTCTACAAAATATAAACATTAGATGCCATTTTTTAACATGTGTATCAAAAGCATAAAGGTACCAAAAGATTTACTGAAAAGAAGCAATTAATTGTCTTCTGTTAAACCAGAAATAGAATAACACTCAAAAGAATTAAAATGCAAAGGCAAGATATACTAATAACAGACATTCAATAATTTGGGTTAATAACTCCATCATTAACATTTTTTCTACCAAGAATAGATAATCTTATTCGATAGCAGTATTTACATTGACCCAAACATCTCTGGAATAAAGACAATATGTAGATAGATATACAAATAACTCCTTGACTTATGATGGGGCTACATCCCAATAAACACATCTTAATTTGAAATGCATATTTCAAATAATAAATACATATTATTAATACTTTCATAACTCTTTCTGTGGGTAGACACTTCTTAATACTCCTCTCCGCCCTTATCCTTATAAAATAATAAAGGTAGGAGTAAAAGGCAAACTTTTTACGGTTATATAACATCTGAATTTTGTACGATATGCATGTATCAAAAATAAATAAAACCATCAAAAGATTTTTTTATTTTTTTTATTTTTTTATTTTTTTTTTTAAATATATATATATTTTATTGATATTTCACAGAGAGGAGGAAAGGAGAGAGATAGAGAGCTAGAAACGTCGATGAGAGAGAAACATCGACCAGCTGCCTCTTGCACACCCCCTACCGGGGATGTGCCCGCAACCAATGTACATGCCCTTGACCGGAATCGAACCCGGGACCCTTCAGTCCGCAGACCGATGCTCTACCACTGAGCCAAACCGGCTTCGGCAAAAGATTTTTTTTTTTTAAAAAAAAGGTAATTGTGTATGTGTGTGTGAGAAAGAGACAGAAACAGAAATAGGAAAACAAAGAAGGTTAAATAAGAACTGAGAAAGAAATAGAGAAGGATTCCTGAAATGAAATGCTGGAGCTTTAATACAAACATTCTGTAATATTTTCTGTTGCTTAATCATTGTTTATTTGGGAGATAAATACTACTTAAAGTATAAGGTTAACTGAAAAGTCTTTTCTCCATGAGGGAAGTACTAATCTATTTTGTATCCCCCTTCAATCATTCACACATTTATTTTGCATAGATGCTAGGGATACAGAAATATAAAACACCACTCTTATGTTTAAGTAACAGGTAGAGAAAATAAAAATGTATAAAACATATACTCAAATACAAACCTCCACTTTTTCAATAAGATCAAAAATTTTTCATGTATAAATTCAGAGATACAGATAAAAGAGTAAAATGTCTAATATAATATTTAATATAAAATCTAATTGTACATTTATATACCAGAAAATATTGTTTTCTCTCCACTCTGATATTATATGAAACATTTTATTTACTTATTGATTTTTTTGAGAAAAGGAGACACACACACACACACACAGACACACACATACACACATACACCGAAAGAGAGAGAAATGCCCCAACTGGGGATAAACCTGCAACTCAGATGTGCCCTGATCAGGAATCGAAACTTTTTGGTATACGGGATGGTGCTCAACCAACTGAGCCACCTAGCTGAGCTATATGAAACATTGTTATCCAAACTTTTCAAATCTATTTTCCATATCAAGGTTTATCTGGGAGCAAAGACATTTTAGCTCTAATTCAGACTCTGAGACTGGTATGTGATATGACCCAAAACAGTCACTAACATCTACTTTCAACCTAGATAGTATTCCTGTTTTATAATTTATGGGGATTTATGATAATAAGGGAATGACTTCAACAGGATTTTAATAAACCACTTTAACCTGCCTTTAAAGAAGTTAATCCTTATTTTAGTTCCTGCATTAACAAATATAATGGAACATATTTCCAAATCATCAATATAGCTATGACATTTTAAGAACTTGAGGACACTTTTTCTTTTTTTAATATATTTTATTGATTTTGTACAGAGAGGATGGGAGAGAGATAGAGAGTTAGAAACATCGATGAGAGAGTCATCAATCAACTGCCTCTTGCACACCCCCTACTGGGGATATGCCCGCAACCAAGTTACATGCCCTTGACCGGAATGGAACCCGGGACCTTTCAGTCCCCAAGCCGACGCTCTATCCATTGAGCCAAACCGGTTTCAGCAGAGGACACTTTTTCAACATACCTCAATATTATAAGAATGAGGTACACAAGAGAATACCAATGAATAGAATACTTTCTAAAGATCAGAACATTTTCTCTGTAGCAGTACTGATAGCAATTCAAAGGCGTTTACTTTAACCAAAAGATGTAAACTATAATACTGTTCTAGCTTTGTCCAAATTCTTGCACTTACTAACACTGCTTCTTTTTAAGAAATCATAGTAACAGTGAGCCAGTATTAAACTACACAAGGATAGTATGGTGCATTATCCTAGAAACAAGCTGATATTCATATGCATACATATTGAAGCCAAAGTGATATACTTTCCTTCCTATGAATACATTCACTAAAAGATTCCTTGTAAGGAAAGTATCCAAATGTCATCAATATGGCTTAGGAGTTTTTGGAACTCTCTTGAAAACTGTATCTGACCTTCAAATGATTCTCTATACTGGACAATATTTGGATGCTTCATGTTTGCCAACACTGCAACTTCTCTCCTTGATTCTTCCCTTTCTTTATTGGACATCTTAAATGGGAGGAAAAGAGAAAATACTATATTAAACATTACAACACAATTTAAAAGTCCATAAATAAGAAAGTCGTTAAAAATAAGGTTAAAAAAGGATGGTCCAAACAACAAAATATTGCCAGGAGCTAAAAAGAATGAGTTGAATCGACAAGTAAAAATATTTTGAGATGTTCAAAATAAATTTAGTTATAGAACAGTAGACATAGAAACACAAGCACATATCATAAAAAAAATCTGAAAGGATATATAGACTATTCTGAAATTAGGGGCTCTCCCTGAGATTATGGCAGTCTTCCACTTTAGGTTATACATTGCCATTTTCTTTTTTTTTTTTTTAATCTCTAACAATGAACCCTTTTGTAACCAGATAACCAATGAATAACCCTTGAATAACCAATGAAAAATATACTTACTCTTGAGATGTTAATTTCCTTGATAACATATTGTCTGTCATCTTCTGTAGATTTAACAAGAATGGCTTTTCCAAATGAACCTTCTCCAATCTTCTGTAGTCTAGCATACTTCTCCATAGTTCTTTTTCTAAGGCATCTTAACTGATAGACTAGACAGAAACAAAAATAACTATTAACAGAGATAAGCACATCTTCTATAATAATTATGTTTAATTTAAATTATACTTTCTTAGTGATATGTTTACTAAAAATATTTTAAATATTTACTGAGAGTTAAATAAACTTAATCTCAATTTTATTCATGCAACTTAGTGATAGCTAAAAAGAGAAAAACAGTGACATTTCAATTTTATTATTTGCTTATGAATATATTGTAACTGATTTCAAAGAAGGGAGAGAAAAATAGAAATCTCTATGATAAAAGACAATCACTGATCAGCTGCTTCTTGCACGCCCTCTACTAGGGATTGAGCCTGCAACCCAGGCATATGCCCTTATCAGGAATCAAACTAGATTTCCTAGTTCATAGGTCAACACTCAACCACTGAGACACACGAGCTGGGCTACATTTCAATTTTATAAGAAGGCTTTGTAAAGTTAAATAGTGTATATAATTAACATATATGGAGAGGAAAACAAACTTTTTTTTATATAAATTAATTACTAGCACTACTTTATTATCTCCAATAAGACTGTTTCCCAAGGTTATTTAATCCCCTATTATACATTTAAATTATGTAGAGTGTTTGCTATTATTAAAAAAATTTTCAGATAAAATTTCCATGCATACATTTTTATGTACTTATTACTTATAAAAATTCCTTAGGATAAATTCTTAGTTCAAAGAATGTGAACATGTTAAAGCTTTCAAACATACTACTTTAACTGTTTTTACAGAAATGACTAATAATGTATATTCTAGAAAAATGCATAAAAGTGCTTGGCCTGACCAGCATGCCTCAGTGATTGAGCACTGACCTACGAACCAGGAGGTCATGGTTTGATTCCTGGTCAGGGCAATGCCGAGGTTGTGGGCTTGATCCCCAGTAGGGAGCATGCAGGAGGCAGCTGATCAATGATTCTCATCATTGATGTTTCTGTCTCTCTCTCTCCCTTTCCCAAATAAATTTTTTTAAAAAAATTAAAAGTGCTTGCTCCTAGGTACTCTTTTAACACTGGTATTATTCATTAAAATCTTAAAAAAGCAATTAAAGGTAGTAATGAACACTGAAACCCTGGAATCAGAAAACCTAGTTTTACTAGTAAATCCTCGCTTATTACTTATTACTTATGTGACCTTGGGCAAGCTACTCATCTTCGTGTGCCTCAGTTTTTTCATCTGTACAATGTGGATAAAAGCAGTCTGTACTTACAGAATTATTTGGAGGATAATTTCAGTCAGATACTAAGAACAGTGCTGGCACATAGGGAGCACTGCTTCACTTTCAGTTCTTGTTATTCACTACATTTGATGGGGAAAATGGTGCCTTTTCTTTTGCATAACAGTGAATTTGAAAAAGTGAATTTGAAAATTTCACCCATCTTTATTGAACATTTGTATTTCTGATCTTTGAAACACTTCATCCATGTGCTAGTGGGAGGGGTGGAGGCACAAAATGGCCTGTTCCAACACCCATGAGGGGCTTTTTTTTTTTAATAGGGTGGGATATCTTGGCCACAGAGGCCTCCCTTGAGAAACAAGGGGTCCCAGCCCCACACCAGACCCCTCAGCCCTGGCTTCCAGTGCCCGGAAGAGAAGTCTCCATAACTTCGGGCTATAAAAACCAGCAGGGATTGTGGCTTAGTGACCCGAAAGCTGCTGTAATACCAAGCAGTTCCTTTTTAATAGCTGGCTCACAGACTTACTCCCTCTGACTTCCAGGGATGGAGCAGCAAAAAGGATTCAGGGATATATAAGGAAGCACTAAATTGTTTGGCACTAGAGCAAGATTGGGGGCAGCTTTCTCCCAGACAAAAGTGCTGGTATAGATTACTGTTCCTTTGCCAGACCTCCCCACCCCAGTGCATATTGGCGGTCACCATTTTTGAGTCTCCATCAACCTGGCCCATAATTTTCCTCACCCTGGTGACTCCCTGAAGCCCTGTCCCACCCAATTTGTAGCCTCACCCAAGCTGTTTGCAGTGGTTCTTCCATGTGAATGTCCTGTCCTGGCTCAGGCTTCCAACTTTCCTAAAATGTCTCAAGCAGCAGCTGGACTCAGCATGCTTGATACCTCTTGCTAAGTGGTCCCAGGCCCAGCAATAGCAGCAGCCTGCCTGGTTCACAGCTTGGCCTCTCCTGGACACTTCCAATTCCAATATAAATAGCAGCCATCTACAGATTGCTCTGTAGCTCAGGCCAGGTGGCTTTAGGCAGGGCACAGGTAGTAGCTGACTTTGCACTTCCCAAGAGGCCCCAGAGCCAGTGCACCCAGTGGGCAGCTTCAGATCATGCCAGATTACAACCCTACCATATCCACGAGCAACACACTAAAGGGGCAGACTCGATGAGCTCCACAGCCCCATTGAAGCAAGTCCTGCTCCATGGGGCATCTCCTGCATGCAGCTCTTCCACTAGAGTTGCAGCTGGCTCAAGCAGCCAATTGGCCTAGGTGTCAATCCCTCCCTGTGATGCCAACAGCAATCAACGCTCGACTACAACAGGACAGTGCACACAGCCCACACAGGGGAGGCACCTAGAATGCCCAGCTCAGGAGACTGGGGAGGCTGAGCCACTGCGCCCTACAGGACACCAACAGCACAAGGCCACTCTACCAATTCTAGGAGACATAGCAGCTCTCCCTAATACATAGAAACAAACACAGTGAAACAGCCAAAATGCAGAGACAAAGAAACATGTCACAAATGAAAGAACAGAAGCAATCTCCAGAAAAAGAACTAAATTAAATGGAAGCAAGCAAACTACCAGATAAAGAGTTCAAGGATATTAATGAGAGCTTCAAGAATCTTAGTGAGTACAACAATAACATAAAAAAGGACCAGTTAGAAATGAAGAATACACTAAATGAAATTAAGAATAATTTACAGGGAATCAACAGTAGAGGACACTGAGAATCAACTCAATTTAAAATATGAGTAAGCAAAAAACAATCAGAATAGAAAAAAGCAATCTAAAAATATGAAGATAGTGTAAGGAGTCTCTGGAACAACTTCAACCATATCAACATTCTCATGATGGGGGTTCCAGAAATAGAGAGCAGGAGCAAGAAATTGAAAACTTATTTTGTAGGGAGAAGTTATAGGGTTAAGCCTTGGACTGATCTGCTGGCAAAGCCACAAACAAGACCCAGCTTAGAAGGCACAGCCCTCTTAGCATAGTTAAACTTGATCTTATGACACTCCCTAGATCCTTCCTGGGTAGCTAATGGGGTGTGGGAAATCCAGCAAGTGCTGCCAAAACAAGAGAAACTCACAAGAACACTGTAACTATGGTGACCACTACCTTATTTACCTCTAACTATAAAATAAAGCATCAGCTTGCAGTCTGGATCTGTTCTGTGGCCTCAGCCAGGCACAGAAGATCCACCTAGTCACAGCTTATTCTCTTTGTCTATCTTTTCTTCATCCTTTGACGGCCCTCCCTCAAGCTTGCTGAACCTTTGGCTGTGCTGGCACGGCACACTATTTGAAAAAATGACTGAAATTTTACCTTATATGGTGAAAGAAATAGACTTATAAGTCCAATAAGCTCAGAGAGGAACACATAGAGGCCCACAACAAGAAATATTATAATGAAAATGCCAAAGATTAAAGACAAAGAATCTTAAAAGCAGAAAGAGAAAAGCAGTTAATTACCTACAAGGAAATGCCCACATGACTGTCTGCTGATTTCTCAACAGAAACTTTGCAGGCCAGAATGGAGATGCAAGAAATATTCAAAGTGATGAAAAGCAAGGACCCACAATTAAGATTAGTCTACCCAGCAAAGCTATCATTTACAATTGAAGGTCAGTTAAAGAGCTTCACAGACTAGAAAAAGCTAAAGGAATTCACCACCACCAAACCAGTATTACATGAAATGTTAAAGGGAAACAGAGGAGAAGAAAAAAGAGATCAAAATATTACAATACACCATACACAAAAATAAACTCAAATGGATAAAGGACTTAAACATAAGATGGGAAATAATAAAAAGATTAGAGGAATCCACAGGCAGCAAAATCTCAGACATGTGCCAAAGCAATATCTTCACCAATTCAGCACCTAGGGCAATGGAAACTAACGAGAAAATAAACAAATGGGACTACATCAAAATAAAAGGCTTCTACACAGCAAAAGAAACCATCAAAACAACAAGAAAGCCCTCTGCATGGAAGAACATATTTGCCAATGTTATTTCCAATAAGGTTTTAATCTCCAACATTTATAGGGAACTCATACAACTTAACAAAAGGAGAATAAACAACCCAATCAAAAAATGGGCAATGGATATAAATAGATACTTTTCTAAAGAGGTGATAAGGAAGGCCAAGAGACATATGAAAACATACTCAAAGTCACTAATCATTCAAGAGATGAAAATCAAAATGACAATGAGGTACCATCTCACACCTGTGCAAATAGCTATCATCAATAAATCAGCAAACAACAAGTGCTGGAGAGGATGTAGAGAAAAAGGAACCCTTGTGCACTGCTGGTGGGAATGCAGACTGGTACAGCCACTGTAAAGAACAGTATGGAGTTTCCTCAAAAAATTAAAAATGGAACTCCCATTTGACCCAGTGATCCCACTTCTAGGAATATATATCCCAAGACACTAGAAACATCAAACAGAAAGTATACACGCACCCCTTTGTTCATAGCAGTACAATTTACCAAAGCTAAGATTTGGAAACAGCCTAAGTGCCCATCAGCAGATGAGTGGATTAAAAAACTGTGGTACACCTAGCCCTAACCAGTTTGGCTCAGTGGATAGAGCATCAACCTGCAGATTGAAAAAAACTGTGGTACATCTACACAATGGAATACTACGCTGAGGTAAAAAAAAAAAAAAAAAAAAAAAAAAAGGAATTCTTACCACTTGCAACAGTATGGATGGAACTGGAGAGTATTATGCTAAGTGAATAAGCCAATCAGAGAAAGATAAATATCCCATG